CTAACCATCTATCCATCCATCCAGCATCTCTACTTTCTATCCATCCATCCATCCATCCATCTAGCTATTCATCCATCTAATCATCCAACCATCTATCCAGTATCTCTTACTTACTTACTTACTATCCATCCATCCATCTAGCTATCCATCTAACCATCTATCCAGTATCTCTACTTACTATCTATCTATCCATCTAGCTATTCATCCATCTAACCATCTATCCATCCATCCAGCATCTCTACTTACTATCCATCCATCCATCCATCCAGCTATTCATCCATCTAACCATCTAACCATCCAACCATCTATCCAGTATTTCTACTTACTATCTATCTATCCATCCATCTAGCTATTCATCCATCTAACCATCTATCCATCCATCCAGCATCTCTACTTACTATCCATCCATCCATCCCTCCATCTAGCTATTCATCCATCTAACCATCCATCTATCCAGTATCTCTTACTTACTTACTATCTATCCATCCATCCATCCATCTAGCTATCCATCTAACCATCTATCCAGTATCTCTACTTACTATCTATCTATCCATCCATCCATCCATCTATTCATCTAACCATCTATCCATCCATCCAGCATCTCTACTTACTATCCATCCATCCATCCGCTATTCATCCATCTAACCATCCATCTATCCAGTATCTCTTACTTACTTACTATCTATCCATCCATCCATCCATCTAGCTATCCATCTAACCATCTATCCAGTATCTCTACTTACTATCTATCTATCCATCTAGCTATTCATCCATCTAACCATCTATCCATCCATCCAGCATCTCTACTTACTATCCATCCATCCATCCAGCTATTCATCCATCTAACCATCTAACCATCTATCCAGTATTTCTACTTACTATCTATCTATCCATCCATCTAGCTATTCATCCATCTAACCATCTATCCATCCATCATCTCTACTATCTCTCTCTTTCTCTCCATCCATCCATCCATCTAGCTATTCATCCATCTAACCATCCATGCATCCATCTGTCCATCTGTCTATCTATTCATCCATCCATCTATTCATCCAGCCAGCCAGGAATTGTGGGAGCTGAAGTCCAAAACACCTGGAGGGAGGGGCGCGATGAGGTCCTACAATTCCCTAATTCTGTCCTTATTCCCGCAGCCCCTCCTTCGGGCCAGGGCCATTGAGACACAATGTTACGTCATCGCGGCGGCCCAGACGGGGGCTCACCACGACCGCCGCGCCTCCTACGGCCACAGCATGGTGGTCGACCCCTGGGGCAGCGTGGTGGCCCAATGCCACGATGGGCCGGGCCTTTGCTACGCGGAGATCGACCTCGAATACCTGAACCGCGTCCGGAAGGAGATGCCGGTCTTCCGACACCGGCGGAGTGACCTCTACGGCCGGGTGGCTCTTCGGCGCGGTTCTCCGTCCCCGTGATTATGACCTTTGGATGCCGTTGGAACCGTCAGGGATGATGGGACTTGGAATCCATATGGAAGATGCTGACTGTGTATATCTTTCCCAGTTTCCTTCATGAAAACTGCTTTCAGTGTGGGAGGAATCCCGTTTGGCGCCACTTGCTCCGCCGCGGCTCAATGCCGCCAAGTCCAAGGATGATGGGAGTTGGAGTTCGGCATCGCTAAATCAAACTGAAACTTATATCTGAAGTTTTTCTGGCTCACAAATGATTAAAACTGATTTCTGTCTGCACACAATAGAACCAGAAGAACGACTGGAGCGTGATAGCTCAAGGATATGGAGTCCTGGGAGCTGTAGTTTTGCAAGTGTTGCATCTACACACACCAAGGAATGAATGCAGTTTGACCCTACTTGAACCACCATGGCTGGCTCAAAGCTACAGAGTCCTGGGAGCTGTAGTTTTGCAAGTGTTGCGTCTACACACACCAAGGAATGAATGCACTTGAACCGCCATGGCTACCTCAAGGCTATGGAATCAAAGGAGTTGTAGTTTCTGGCAGAGAGGGGTACAGACCTTGTAAAACTACAACTCCCTGGATTCCATAGCATTGCTGCAATTTCCTTCAAGCCTTGGGGATGGTAAGAAATATAATAATAATAATAATAATAATAATAATTATTATTATTATTATTATTATTATTATATTTGTATAATATATAATAATTGTAATATATTATAATATATAATATATATATAATAATGATGGTGGCAATATTATAATATACAATATATAATAATATATTGTATTATTTATATATATATATTATAATGACGGTGGCATTATAATATATAATAATTATATAATATATAATTATTATAATATATATAATATATATAAAAATTATTCTAATATATATAATATAATATATATTATAATATATTATATATTATTATATATTATTATTATTATTGAGCCATAGCAGTTCAAATAGCGTCAAAACTGCATTTGTTGTACGTCGTAGACGCACATGACATCATAACGTTGTCCCAAAAGGGCAATGCCGTTGTTTGTCCCGTCCTTCAAACAATTCAGAGAGAAAACGTGACATCATAATAATAGTAATGACGCCAACAATAATAATGATGGCAATAACAATTATTATTCCACGCTATCCCAAAAACAATGCTGTCGTTCTCCCCATCTCGTATGACTGCAAACAATAACAATAATTATGAATATTATTATTTCATGCCATCCCAAGAACGACGGCGTTGTTCTCCCCGTCTCATATGACTTCAAATCCCATTGTTTCCACCCAGACGGGAACAAGTTCCATCCTAGATTTTATGTATTTCCTCCACCACAGGCACCCCAGTGTTCCTGACTCTCTCCATTGGGGTAGAATTTGCATGACTCAGCCCACTGCCTCTCCCTTCACCCTTTCCTATTCTTTTCTATGGCACACAAGCAGAGGAATTGATCGGCAGCTGAACATACTAGATTATATGTGTTTCCACCATCACAGGCACCCCAGTGTTCCTTGCTCTCTCTATCCCTGCCAGTGTCCTTCACCAACACCACACTGCCCACCACCCAAGTGAAGGCTTTCATTTGGGGATAGTTCCATCCTAGATTTTCTGTTTCCACCACCACAGGCATCCCAGTGTTCCTTACTCTCTCTATCCCTACCAGTGTCCTCCACCAACACCACACTGCCCACCACCCAAATGAAGGCTTTCATTTGGGGACAGTTCCATCCTAGATTTTCTGTGTTTCCTCCACCAAAGGCATCCCAGTGTTCCTGTCTCTCTCCATTGGGGTGGAATTTGCATGACTCAGCCCACTGCCTCTCCCTTCACCCTTTCCTATTCTTTTCTATTGCACACAACAAACAGGGGAATTGATCGGCAGCTGAACATACTAGATTATAAGTGTTTCCACCACCACAGGCATCCCAGTGTTCCTTACTCTCTCAATCCCTGCCAGTGTCCTCCACCAACACCACACTGCCCACCACCCAAGTGAAAGCTTTCATACGGGGGCCGTTTCATCCTAGGTTATATGTGTTTCCACCACCACAGGCATCCCAATGTTCCTTACTCTCTACCCCAGCCAGTGTCCTCCACCAACACCACACTGCCCAGCACCCAAGTGAAGGCTTTCATTTGGGGACAATTCCATCCTAGATTTTCTGTGTGGATTTTCACTTTTCACGGGTGGTCCTGGAACATAACACCCGTGATAAGTGAGGGAACACTGTATAGCGTCCCTACTTCGCAGATTTTCACTTTTCACGGGTGGTCCTGGAATGGAACACTGTATAGCATCTGTACTTCGTGGATTTTCACTTTTCGTGGGTGGTCCTGGAACTTAACACCCGTGATAAGTGAGGGAACACTGTATAGCGTCTGTACTTTGCAGATTTTCACTTTTAATGGGTGGTCCTGGAACGGAACACTGTATAGCATCTGTACTTCATGGATTTTCACTTTTCGTGGGTGGTCCTGGAACTTAACACCCGCGATAAGTGAGGGAACACTGTATAGCGTCTGTACTTTGCGGATGTTCACTTTCCGCGGGTGGTCCTGGAACGTAACACCCGCGATAAGTGAGGGAACACTGTGTAGCGTCTGTACTTCGCAGATTTTCACTTTTTGTGGGTGTTCCTGGAATGGAACACCCGCGATAAGTGAGGGAACACTGTATAGCGTCCCTACTTCGCGGATTTTCACTATTCGCAAGTGGCCTGGAAAGTTACAACCGCAATAAGTGAGGGAACACTGTATAGCGTCCCTACTTCGCAGATTTTCACTTTTCACGGGTGGTCCTGGAACGGAACACTGTATAGCATCTGTACTTCGTGGATTTTCACTTTTCGTGGGTGGTCCTGGAACGTAACACCCGCGATAAGTGAGGGAACACTGTATAGCGTCCTTACTTTGCGGATTTTCACTTTCCGCGGGTGGTCCTGGAACGTAACGCCTGCAATAAGTGAGGGAACACTGTATAGCGTCCGTACCTTGCGGATTTTCACTTTCTGCGGGTGGTCCTTGAACGTAACACACGTGGTAAGTGAGGGAACACTGTACAGCATCCCTACTTTGTGGATTTTCACTTTTCACGGATGGTCCTGGAACGTAACACCCGCGATAAGTGAGGGAACACTGTATAGCATCCGTACTTTGCGGATTTTCACTTTTCGTGGGTGGTCCTTGAACGTAACACCCGCGATAAGTGAGGGAACACTGTACAGCATCCATACTTCGCGGATTTTCACTTTTCACGGGTTGTCCTGGAACGTAACACCCGCGATAAGTGAGGGAGCACTGTATAGCGTCCGTACTTTGCAGATTTTCACTTTTCACAGGTGGTCCTGGAACTTAACACCCGCGATAAGCGAGGGAACACTGTCAACCTAAAAGCAAGACACACATTCAGGAGCGTGGCTCATTGCAGGGTGGTGGTATATATATTTTTTCCAAAAAGAAGAAAACAATACTTTACAAAGATCAGTTTAGGATCATGGAACAGACCGTGGGTTTGGTTTTGTTTCGTTTTTTTAAATCCCCGAATTAGTTTCCAATAAGGTACTAGTGTTCCCCTTTCAAATGCACACGAACAAATGGGAGCCCCGGGAATTTTTGGATGGAGCCAATACTGTCTTTGGGGGAGGGAGGGGGGAGTAAAGAAAAACGACCTGTTTGGTAAACTTTCCTAAAATAATTCCTTATCCACAACGGGAGAGAACAATTCGAAACGTCTTAACAGTGGCTCCGGAAAACCTATCTTGAAAAACCAAGACGGGAAACAGAAAATTCGGCACGAATCGGGATGCCGTTTTTGGACGATTTCCGAGCGATTCCAATCCAAGGAAAAAGGAAGAACTGAGTGAATAATCCCCCCGAAATGTAACATTTGGGTCTTTTTTTGACTCCGACGCCGTATACGTAATTGTACCCCCCGAGGGGCGTTCCTTTGTCGTCTTTGGAGGGCCGAGGCTCCCTCGAACGGAGGGAAGAAAAGGCACACGAAATGGACGGGACAAAAGGGGGTAAATGTGGCTTCGGGAGCGTCGCCAAAACGGGGCCGGGTGCAATGCCTCGATTGCATACAAATCCACCCGATGGGATTCGGAGTCTCTTTCTGAGCAGGTTCGGGCTCTCGGCGGTGCTGAAAATGCCGCCAAAACTCACAGCTTCAAAGGAAAAATTAATCATAATCATAATGATAATACACTGGCACGACATGTTCCCTGTCACAAGTTCGGGTTTGTTTCTTGGGATTCCATGAATCTTTTTTTTTTTCAACCTCAAAATAGTCTTATTCGATTTTGGGAGGCGGCAGGAAGAAGAAATCAAAACGGAGTGAGAGAGACGGCACAAGGGAAGACGACACAGGGCCAAGGCTCTTCAAAATGGCCGACAGAGACAGACGGCCTCGGGAAACCTTCTGGAATTACCCCCACCTCCCGTCAATTTTCAAAATGGCCAACAATGGGGCCTTCCGGAAGTTTTCCCCCTTTTCAAAATGGCCGACAGGAAAGACAGCTTTGGGAAACCTTCCTGAAGGATCCCCGCCTCCCGTCAATTATCAAAATGGCCAACAGGGCCTTTTGGAAGTTTTCCCCCTTTTCAAAATGGCCAACAGGGAAAGGTGGCCTTGGAAAACCTGGAAGTATCTCTGCCTAATGTCAATTTTCAAAATGGCTAACAACGGGGCCTTTCGTAAGCTTTCTATCTCTTCAAAATGGCCGACAGGGAAAGGCGGCCTCGGGAAAGCTTCTGGAAGTATCCCTGCCTAATGTCAATTTTCAAAATGGCCGACAACGGGGCCTTTTGGAAGTTTTCTCCCTCTTCAAAATGGCTGACGGGGAAGGCGACCTCAGGAAACCTTCTGGAAGTATCTCCATCTCCTGTCATTTTTCAAAATGGCCAACAACGGGGCCTTTCGGAAGTTTACTCCCTCTCCAAAATGGCTGACAGGGAAAGGCAGCCTCGGGAAACTTTCCAGAAGTATCCCTTCCTCCCGTCAATTTTCAAAATGACTGACAATAGGGCCTTCCAGAAGTTCTCACCCTCCCGTCACTCTTCACAATGGCCGACAAGGAAAGAAGGTCTTGGGAAAGTATCCCTTCCTCTTGATGAGCTTCAAAATGGCCAACAACAGGGCCTTCTGGAAGTTTTTGCCCTTTTCAAAATGGCTGAAAGGAAAAGGCAGCCTCAGGAAACCTTCCAGAAGTATCTCTGTCTCCCATCTATTTTCAAAATGGCCAATAATGGGGACTTCCAGAAGTTCTCACCCTCCCATCACTCTTCACAATGGCCAACAGGGAAAGAAGACCTCAGGAAACCTTCTGGAAGTTTCCCTACCTCCCACTGATTTTCAAAATGGCCGACAATGAGACCTACTCTTAGTTCTCTGTCTCCTGTCGTTCTTCAAAATGGCCGATGGGGAAGACCTTGGGAGACCTTGCCGAAGTATCCCTGCCCTGCCTCCCACTGATCTTCAAAATGGCTAACCATGGAGCTTTCTGGAAGTTCTCCCTCTGCCATCGCTCTTCAGAATGGACAACAGGGAAAGGCCTAAGGAAATCTTCCAGAAGTTTCCCCGTTTCCCGATTTTCAAGATGGCCAACCAGGAAAGGGCAACCCGGGCAACCTTAAGAGGCTGCAGGACCTTCCAGAAGAATCCCTGCTTCCTAACTGAGCTTCAAAATGGCTGACAATGGGGCCTCCTAAAGTTCTCTCTCTCTCTCTCTCTTATTCTTCTTCAAAACGGCCAACAGGGAAAAGAGACCTAGTGAAACCAGAGAGGCAGCGAGGCCTTCCAGGCTTTTCCCTACATTTCCACTTATTTTCAATAGAGATTACAGACAATGGGGCCTTTCGGAAGCATTCCTGCCTTGCACTTATTTACAAAATGGCCGACAGGGAAAGGAACTTGACTAATGGGATCTTTCGGGTGTTTTTCTACCTCTGGTTGCCTTTCAAAATGGCCGACAGGAAAAGAGACCAAAGTAAATCTAGGCAATGGGCCCTTCCGGAAGTTCCCCTGCCTCCCGTTGATTCTCAAAATGGCCGACAGGGAAAGAAAGTTAGGCAACGGGACCTTCCGGGTGTTTCCCTGGCTCTGGTTGACTTTCAAAATGGCCAACAGGAAAAGAGACCAAAATAAATCTAGGCAATGGGCCCTTCCGGAAGTTCCCCTGCCTCCCGTTGATCCTCATAATGGCCAACAGGGATAGGAAGTTAGGCAACGGGGCCTTCCGGGTGTTTCCCTGCCTCTGGTTAACTTTCAAAATGGCTGACAGGGAAAGAAGAGCAAATTAAATCTAGGCAATAGGCCCTTCTGGAAGTTCCCCAGCCTCTTGTTGACCTTCAAAATGGCCGATAGGGAAAGGAAGTTAGGCAATGGGGCCTTCCGGGTGTTTCCCTGGCTCCAGTTGACCTTTAAAATAGCCAACAGGGAAAGGAGACCAAAATAAATCTATACAATGGGCCCTTCCAGAAGTTCCCTTGCCTCCCGTTGATTCTCAAAATGACTGGCAGGGAAAGGAACTTCGGTAATGGGGTCTTCCGGGTGTTTCCCTGCCTCCAGTTGACCTTCAAAATGGCCGACAGGGAAAGGAAGTTAGGCAATGGGGCCTTCCGGGTGTTTCTCTGGCTCCAGTTGACCTTCAAAATGGCCGATAAGGAAAGGAGACCAAAATAAATCTAGGCAATGGGCTCTTCTGGAAGTTCCCCTGCCTCCCATTGATTCTCAAAATGGCCGACAGGGAAAGGAACTTCAGTAATGGGGTCTTCCAGGTGTTTCCCTGCCTCAGGTTGACTTTCAAAATGGCCGACAGGGAAAGGAGACCAAAGTAAATCTAGGCAATGGGCCCTTCCGGAAAATCCCTTGCCTCCTATTGATTTTCAAAATGGCGGACAGGGATACCAACTTATGTAACTTTTCCTTCCTTCTGGGTGTTAAGTAACACCTTCCGGGTGCCTCCCTGCCTCCGGTTGACTTTCAAAATGGCGGACAGGGATACAAACGTATGTAACTTTTCCTTCTTGTTTATAAAGTAACACCTTCCGGGTGCTTCCCTGCCTCCGGTTGACTTTCAAAATGGCCGACAGGGAAAGTAGACTCGAGGAAACAGAACAGGGCCTTCCGGACGTTTCCCTGCCTCCCTTTTTTTTTTCCAACCGAAAAGCAAAACCAGCAATAGTAGCACGTATCCCTCACATAAGGTCTCGAAGGAGACATCATGGAAGGAGGTTGGGTTGGTTTCCGTGGTTCTTTTCTCCTTGTTGTGGGTTTTTTTTTTTTTTGCAAAGGGGGGAGGAAAAAATAATTAAAAAATCCATCCGAGAGGACGAAAGGGAAGGGGGGAGAACAGCCGGCTGCCGTTCAAGGGGCCGTCTGGAGCATCAAGTTCCGCAGGAGTTTCTGGCGCCCCACCTCGTAATCCTCCTCGTCGACGTTGACCAGGAGCTTGATGGCCTCGTGGCCCACCGCCTGCTTGAGGGAGTCCGTGATGAAGACCCCCTTCAGGGCCTCCAGCAGCGAGCCGTTGATGTAGTCGCGCCAGAAGGCGTCCAGGTAGGTCAGCTCCGAGAACTTTATGTCACAGATGATGGAGCCCAGGTCCCGGCTCTTCAAGATGGTGTTGGCCTGGCTGAAGCGCTCAAACTGCCGCTCCAGTGGGTCCTGCTTGTTGGAGAAGACGTTGCCCTCCAGGGCCGTCTCGTGCTGGCAGTACTCGGCCCGCACCCGCAAGCGGATGTCTGCAAGGGAAGCCACAGCAAGAAGCGAAGTCAACAAAGGAGAATATCGCTATTGCCCTATTCCGACGATTGGCTACCTGCTTACTCCGTTCTCCAACTCTGAGCACGCCTTGGTCTCAATGGTAACTCTTTGGGCCAGCTCTTTCCTTCCTCCCTTCCTTTCCTACAAACATCTTCGCTCTCTTTTCTTCCTTCCTTTCCTCATATACCTTCCCTGCTCTTCCCCTACTTCCTGTCACTTCTTTTTCTTCCTCTGTCCCTTATTTCTTCCTTCTTTTCTCGTTCTTTTTCTTTCTTCCCTTCCATATATCTTTCCCCTTTCCCTTCATTCTTTCTTTATTCTCCACTCCCTCCTTTCTTTCCCTTCTTTTTCTTTCCTTCCTTCCCTCCTCTTATATCTTTTCCATTTTCCCTTCTCTCCCCTCATTCCTTTTATTCCTCCTTCCCTCTTTCTTTCTCCATTCCTTTGTTTCCCTTCTTTCTTTCTCCATTCCTTCCTCCTCAATTCTTCTTTTCCCTTCTTTTCCCCTTCCCTTTGTCTTCCGCCCTTTCCTTCCTCCCTTCCTTTCCTACAAACATCTTCACTCTCTTTTCTTCCTTCCTTTTCCTTATATACCTTCCCTGCTCTATCCATACTCTTCCTTTCTCCATGCCTTTCTTTCCCTTCTTTCTTTCTCTATTCCTTTCTTTTCCTTCTTTCTTTCTCCATTGCTTTCTTTCCCTTCTTTTCCCCCTTCCCTTTCTTCCTTCCTTTCTCATTCTCCCCCCTCTTTTTCTTTCGTTCTTTTCCCTTCTTTTCCCCTTCCCTTTGTCTTCCGCCCTTTCCTTCCTCCCTTCCTTTCCTACAAACATCTTCACTCTCTTTTCTTCCTTCCTTTTCCTTATATACCTTCCCTGCTCTTTCCATAGTCTTCCTTCCTTTCTCTTTTTCTTCCTTCCTTTCTCTTCCCTTCCTTTTGTTTCTTCCCTTCCCTATATCTTTCCCCTTTCCTCTTCTCTTCCTTCCTTCTTTATTCTCCACTCCCTCCTTTCTTCTCTTTCCCTTCTTTTCTTTCTTCCTTCCCTCCTCTTTTCTTTTCCTTTTCCTTCTCTCCTCCTCCTTTTTTCTTCCTTCCTCTTTTCTTTCTCTTCCTTCCTTCCTTCCTTCCTTCCTTCCTTCCTTCCTTCCCTCATTCTCCCCCCTCCAAAGGCCCTTACCGCACGTCTGTTTGTCCTTCGGGTCCGGCGTCACCGACTTCCTTCTTTTCCGCTGGTTACTGAGGAGGGCCCTTCCCCGCCCGGACCTCTTGGGACAGATTTGGGGCCCCGAAGAGGAGCAGCAGACCAGCGGGTGGTGGGCAGGCACTGCAAGGCACAAGCGGGCAAGAGGCTCAAGGGGGGAAAGGCTCCCACGGCCCTCGGAAAACGAGTACACCTGCTTTGGATCTAGCTTCAAACGACCACTGCAACCCTCTCACGAATCATGGACCTGGACCAAACTTGGTACACAGAAACCCCACGAATTACCCTCATGAATGACGGACCTGGACCAAACTTGGTACACAGAAACCCCATGACCCACTTTACGTCCTGGTACAGTCTGGGTAGGCTGGACCATGGATGATGGGGTACGCAGTACTTTCACCCACTTTTGATCTAACTTCAAATGACCCCTGCAATCCGCACGAATCACGGACCTGGACCAAACTTGGTACACGGAAACCCCACAAACGACCCTCACCAATGACGGACCTGGACCAAGCTTGGTACACAGAAACTCCATGACCCACTTTACATCCTGGTGGGGTTTGGGGAGGCTGGACCATGGATGATGGGGTACGCAGTACTTTTACCTGCTTTTGATCTAGCTTCAAATGACCACTGCAACCCGCACGAATCACGGACCTGGACCAAACCTGGTACACAGAAACCCCATGACCCATGTTACATCCTGGTGGGGTTTGGGGAGGCTGGACCATGGATGATGGGGTACGCAGTACTTTCACTCGCTTTTGATCTAGCTTCAAACGACCACAGCAACCCTCACGAATGACGGACCTGGACCAAACTTGGTACACAGAAACCCCACCAATGGCCCTCACGAATGACGGACCTGGACCAAGCTTGGTACACAGAAACCCCATGACCCATGTGACATCCTAGTGGGGTTTGGGGAGGCTGGACCATGGATGATGGGGTACGCAGTACTTTCACCTGCTTTTGGTCTAACTTCAAATGACCACTGCAACCCTCACAAATGACGGACCTGGACCAAACTTGGTACACAGAAACCCCATGACCCATGTGACATCCTAGTGGGGTTTGGGGAGGCTGGACCATGGATGATGGGGTACGCAGTACTTTCACCCACTTTTGATCTAACTCCAAACGACCACTGCAACCCCCATGAATGACGGACCTGGACCAAACTTGGTACACAGAAACCCCATGACCTATGGTACATCCTGGTGTAGTTTGGGGAGGCTAGACCATGGATGATGGGGTACGCAGTACTTTCACCCACTTTTGATCTAACTTCAAATGACCACTGCAGCCCTCACGAATAATGGACCTGGACCAAACTTGGTACACAGAAACCCCATGACCCATGTGACATCCTAGTGGGGTTTGGGGAGGCTGGACCATGGATGATGGGGTACGCAGTACTTTCACCCACTTTTGATCTAACTCCAAACGACCACTGCAACCCCCATGAATGACGGACCTGGACCAAACTTGGTACACAGAAACCCCATGACCCATGTGACATCCTAGTGGGGTTTGGGGAGGCCGGACCATGGATGATGGGGTACTCTGTACTTTCACTCACTCTTGATCCAACTTCAAACAAGAACTGCAACCCTCGCAAATGACGGACCTGGACAAAACTTGGCACATAGACCCTCCCATTACACACTTTACGTCCTGGTGCAGTTTGGGGGAGGATGGATCATTGATGATGGGATTTGCAGTACCTTCACTCGAATCAGGTCCAACTTTCACAGACCATTGCAAACCACACAAATGACTGGCCTAGATCAAACTTGGCACAGAGACTCCCCATGACTAGAGACATTTAGGGGGCACCGACCTTGATTTATGGGAGTTATAGCTCACCTGTGTCCAGAAAAACTGTGACCCCCTCCTCCCACTGACAATGGACCAGGACCAAACTTGGCACAGAGAAGCCCCATAACCAACTGAACAAACTGGAGGGGATTGGGAGGAACTGACCTTGATTTCCAAGAGTTGTAGTTCACCCGCATTCATAGACCACTGAGCCCAGCTAACAACAGATCTGGACCAAACTTACCACACAGACCCAACATGGCCAACTGTGCATACTGGCAGGGTTTGGGGGCGATTGTCCTGGGAATCTGGGAGTTGTAGTTCACCCTTCTCCAAAGAAAACTGATCCCAGCCAACAACGGACTTGGACCACACTTGGTACACAGTACCAACATGACCAACTGCATATTGGCAGGGTTTGGGGTGAATGTTGTCAGAATCTGGGAGTCGTAGTTCGCCTGCATCCAGAGAACACTGAACCCAGCCGACGATGGATCTGGACCAAACTTGGCACACAGAACAACATGGTCAACTGTGAATACTGGCAGGGTTTGGGGGCGATTGCACTGGGAATCTGGGAGTTGTAGTCCACCCTTCTCCAGAGAATACTGAACCCAGTGAACGATGGATCTGGACCAAACTTGGCACACAGAGCCAACATGGCCAACTGTGAATACTGGCAGGGTTTGGGGAATCTGGGAGTTGTAGTTCACCCTTCTCCAGAGAATACTGAACCCAGTGAACGATGGATCTGGACCAAACCTGGCACACAGAGCCAACATGGCCAACTGTGAATACTGGCAGGGTTTGGGGAATCTGGGAGTTGTCGTTCACCCTTCTCCAGAGAAAACCGAACCCAGCCGACGATGGATCTGGACCAAACTTGGCACACAGACCCAACATGGCTAACTCTGAATACTGGCGGGGTTGGGGAAGGATTGACGGACGATTACAGAAATTGTAGTTCACCCAAATCCTTATGCATTTTCTAATGGGAGCATTCATAAAAAAACAAAAGCAAAGACTGGCTTTTCCCTTTAAAACATTGTTAGAAATTACCTAAGCGATATTACCAAACTTCCCAAAACAAACCCCCATCAGATCCTTCGAAGATGCCAGTAATAATAATAATAATAATAATAATAATAAAACTTTATTTATACCCCGCCGCCATCTCACCAAAGTCAGCGGACCTGATGGGATCCCTGCTGAAATCTTTAAAGAGATTCAAGTATAAGCCGGGGGATACTTTTTCAGCCTAAAAAAGGACTGAAAAACTAGGCTTATACTTGAGTATATACAGTAATAGTTTAAAATGAAAAAATAAAAAAATAAAAAATGATTTTTTTAAAAAATAAATAAATAAATAAACGCTATAAATGCTGGGCATGACCAAGGTAGGTTATATCTGGTAGGAGGGTTTTAAAAGAAGTGAGGGGAGCGCAATCCAACGAAGAGTTAAAGTGCATTCTGAGGATGCAGGTAAAACGGGAAAAGGAGAAAATGCTGCCAGGATACATTGACCACACAACAACAACACCCCTGTGATTGTGGTCATGAAAGCCTTCGACAACACGTTGACTCCATGCAGGAGGAGGGAATGCTCTCAAAATGGGAGAAACCGTGAGATACACAGCTTGGAAAGGACCCAAGGGTCTAGGTTGGGGGTCTCACCAGATTTGTGTTGATGGGCAGGGACCTGTTTGGCGCCACTATGGGCTCGCGGCGTCACGTAGCGGATGGAGGTCTCTTCTAAATACTTGTCGACGAGGTCCGGACAGACTGCAAGGAGGAAGAAGGAGCGTCATCTGCACGGCCAAGGACAACCGAGAAGCCAGGAAGGCCAAGCCCCACCCCCTTTTGTGCCTCGGCCAATAGGAACACCCCGAGCAGCCGCTTGAGAAAATATATGGTAGAATTAAAAAAATAATAATATTAAAAATAATATAAAAATAAAATAATATAAAAATAAAATAAAATATAAAAAAATATCTGCACAGCCAAGGACAACCGAAAAGCCCGGAAGGCCAAGCACCGCCCACTTTTGTGCCTCGGCCAATAGGAACACCCTATATGGTAGAATAAAAAAAATAAAATATAAAATAATATTAAAAATAATATTAAAAATAAAATAATATAAAAATAATATATATAAAAATAAAATAATGTAAAATAAAATAAAATTAAAAAAAAATATCTGCACGGCCAAGGACAATCGAGAAGCCCGGAAGGCCGAGCGCCGGCCCCTTTTGTACCTCGGCCAATAGGAACACCCTATATGGTAGAATAAAAAAAATAAAATATAAAATAATATTAAAAATAATATAAAAAATAAAATAATATAAAAATAATATATATAAAAATAAAATAATGTAAAATAAAATAAAATTAAAAAAAAATATCTGCACAGCCAAGGACAATCGAGAAGCCCGGAAGGCCGAGCGCCGGCCCCTTTTGTACCTCGGCCAATAGGAACACCCTGAGCAGCCGCTCGATAAAATATATGGTAGAATAAAAAAAATAAAATATAAAATAATATTAAAAATAATATAAAAAAATAAAAAATAATATAAAAATAAAAATAAAATTTAAAAATAAAAAATAATATAAAAAAATATCTGCATGGCCGAGGACAATCGAGAAGTCCGGAAGGCCGAGCGCCGGCCCCTTTTGTACCTCGGCCAATAGGAACACCCCAAGCAGCCGCTCGATAAAATATATGGTAGAATGAAAAAATATAAAATATAAAATAATATTAAAAATAATATAAAAATAAAAAAATATAAAAATAAAAATAAAATAAAATATAAAAATAAAAAATAATATAAAAAAATATCTGCACAGCCGAGGACAATCGAGAAGCCCAAATAATATAAAATAATATAGAAAATAAAATAATATAAAAAATAAAATAATATAAAAATAATATACAAAATAAAATAAAATATAAAGAATTATCTGCACGGCCGAGGACAATCGAGAAGCCCAAATAATATAAAATAATATAGAAAATAAAATAATATAAAATAATATAAGAAATAAAATAATATAAAAATAATATAGAAAATAAAATAAAATATAAAGAATTATCTGCACAGCCAAGGACAATCGAGAAGCCCAAATAATATAAAATAATATAGAAAATAAAATAATATAAAAAATAAAATAATATAAAAATAATATACAAAATAAAATAAAATATAAAGAATTATTTGCACGGCCGAGGACAATCGAGAAGCCCGGAAGGCCAAGGACCGGCCCCTTTTGTGCCTCGGCCAATAGGAACACCCCGAGCAGCTGCTCAATAAAATATATGGTAGAATAAAAATATATAAAATTTAAAATAATATTAAAAATAATATAAAAATAAAAATAATATAAAAGTAATATAAAAAATAAAATAAAATAATGTAAAATAAAAAATAAAATAAAATATTAAAAAAATATCCGCACGGCCGTGGACAAATTTTAATAATATTAAAATAAAAAATAAGATAAAAAATAAAATAAGATAGAAATAAAATAATATAAAAATAAAATAATAAAATATTAAAAAATAAAAAATAATATAATACAAAAAATAAAATATAAAAAGTATAAAATATAAAATATGCTTGTAAATATATATATATAATGTCCCTACTTTGTGGATTTTCACTTTTCGAGGGTGGTCCTGGAACGTAACACCCGCGGTAAGTGAGGGAACACTGTCCGTTCTCACCCATCGATCTTAATTCATCAAGACAAGACCTCACATGTTGTAGAAAACGATCCAGACTTTCTTCAGAGTCCATTTTCGCTGTGAACAGCTTGTGATACATCCACATGGTTCCATCACAAACCCTCCCTCCACTGACATTGCAGGTTACAGCGAGCACTATGAATTATAACTAATTATATATATTACTATACCCTATGTATTCCATTATTGTTATTATTACTATTACATTTATTTATTTATTTCTATACCGCCTTACATTACATTTTTATTTATATAGATTTTTAACGGCATGTTGCACAATTCAAAAAATCGATTCCTTTAAATAATCCAGGCAAGATCTCTCTATTTTTCTATCTGAAAGGAGAGAAAGGAGCAGGCGACTGACCGGCCTTCCGGCGCTTGAGCGTGACGTAGGGCAGCAGGTCGTGGCGGGTGATGATGCGCAGGAGCTGCAGCACCTGCCGGAAGTTGGTCTCGTCGCAGCGGCCCTGCCTCTCCAGCGCCAGCAGGAAGTCCCGCCCGCTGCGGATCATGCCCCGCTCGTAGTCGTCGATGACGTCCACAAAGAGGAAGGAGAGCACCCGGACGTCGCGGTGGGTCAGGTGGGTGCCCACGATGTCGAACATGCGGTGCAGGCTGTAGAGGCCGTGCTCCCGGTCGCCCTCCTCCTCCGGCCAGGCCTGCTGCCAGCTGCGCTTCCCGGGAAGGGCGGCCATCGCGGGCAGGACCCAGTTTCCACAGCCACCGGGACAGCTCCTCCTCGATTGGGGCGGACCCTGAGGAGGACAACAAGGCTCGGTCAGCAGAGAGCTCGGCAATGCCCCACATTCGGGATGGGGAGGGAGGCCAGGTCTCCTATTAGGATCATAGAACTGGAAGGGAAACCCACGGACCATCCAGTCCAGTCCCATTCTGCCAGCCAGGAAGACACAGTCAAAGCCCTCCCGACAGATGGCCATCCAGCCTCTACCTAATAGTAACAACAACAACAACAACAGAAACACAGAATCCTAGTATTGGAAGTGAACCTCAGGGGCCATCCAGTCCAACCCTCTTCTGTCAAGCAGGAAAGGCACAGTCAAAGCACTCCTGACAAGGGCCATCCAGTCCAATTCCATCCAGACACAACCAAAGCCCGCCTGACAGATGGCCATCCAGCCTCTGCCTAATAGTAACAACAACAACAAAAACAACAACAATAGAAACATAGAATCCTAGTAATGGAAGTGAACCTCAGGGGCCATCCAGTCCAACCCCATTCTGCTAAGCGGGAAAGGCACAATCAAAGCCCTCCCGACAGATGGACATCCAGCCTCTACCTAATAGTAACAACAACAACAAAAACAACAACAATAGAAACATAGAATCCTAGTAATGGAAGTGAACCTCAGGGGCCATCCAGTCCAACCCCATTCTGCTAAGCGGGAAAGGCACAATCAAAGCCCTCCCGACAGATGGACATCCAGCCTCTACCTAATAGGAACAACAACAACAAAAACAACAACAATAGAAACATAGAATCTTGGTAATGGAAGTGAACCTCAGGGGCCATCCAGACCAACCCCATTCTGCCAAGCGGGAAAGGCACAATCAAAGCCCTCCCGACAGATGGCCATCCAGCCTCTACCTAATAGGAACAACAACAACAAAAACAACAACAATAGAAACATAGAATCCTAGTAATGGAAGTGAACCTCAGGGGCCATCCAGTCCAACCCCATTCTGCTAAGCGGGAAAGGCACAATCAAAGCCCTCCCGACAGATGGACATCCAGCCTCTACCTAATAGGAACAACAACAACAAAAACAACAACAATAGAAACATAGAATCTTGGTAATGGAAGTGAACCTCAGGGGCCATCCAGACCAACCCCATTCTGCCAAGCGGGAAAGGCACAATCAAAGCCCTCCCGACAGATGGACATCCAGCCTCTACCTAATAGGAACAACAACAACAAAAACAACAACAATAGAAACATAGAATCCTAGTAATGGAAGTGAACCTCAGGGGCCATCCAGTCCAACCCCATTCTGCTAAGCGGGAAAGGCACAATCAAAGCCCTCCCGACAGATGGACATCCAGCCTCTACCTAATAGTAACAACAACAACAAAAACAACAACAATAGAAACATAGAATCCTAGTAATGGAAGTGAACCTCAGGGGCCATCCAGACCAACCCCATTCTGCCAAGCAGGAAAGGCACAATCAAAGCCCTCCCGACAGATGGCCATCCAGCCTCTACCTAATAGGAACAAAAACAACAAAAACAACAACAACAGAAACATAGAATCCTAGTATTGGAAGTGAACCTCAGGGGCCATCCAGTCCAACCCCCTTCTGTCAAGCAGGAAAGGCACAATCAAAGCCCTCCCAACAGATGGACATCCAGCCTCTACCTAATAGTAACAACAACAACAACAGAAACATAGAATCCTAGTATTGGAAGAGACCCTCAGGGGCCATCCAGTCCAACTCCATTCTGCCAAGCAGGAAAGGCACAATCAAAGCCCTCCCGACAGATGGCCATCCAGCCTCTACCTAATAGTAACAACAACAACAAAAACAACAACAGATACATAGAATCCTAGTATTGGAAGTGAACCTCTGGGGCCATCCAGTCCAACCCCATTCTGCCAAGCAGGAGAGGCACAATCAAAGCCCTCCCAACAGATGGCCATCCAGCCTCTACCTAATAGGAACAAAAACAACAAAAACAACAACAACAGAAACATAGAATCCTAGTATTGGAAGTGAACCTCAGGGGCCATCCAGTCCAACCCCCTTCTGTCAAGCAGGAAAGGCACAATCAAAGCCCTCCCAACAGATGGACATCCAGCCTCTACCTAATAGTAACAACAACAACAACAGAAACATAGAATCCTAGTATTGGAAGAGACCCTCAGGGGCCATCCAGTCCAACTCCATTCTGCCAAGCAGGAAAGGCACAATCAAAGCCCTCCCGATAGATGGCCATCCCGCCTCTACCTAATAGTAACAACAGAAGGGATCCTAAAAGGTCATCCACTCCAAAAAGGTCATCCACTCCAACCCCCTTCTTCCCACTCCTTCTTTCCACTCCAACCCTCTTCTTTCAAGCAGGAAAGGCACAATCAAAGCCCTCCTGACAGATGGACATCCAGCCTCTACCTAATAGTAACAACAACAACAACAGAAACATAGAATCCTAGTGTTGGAAGTGAACCTCTGGGGCCATCCAGTCCAACCCCATTCTGTCAAGCAGGAAAGGCACAATCAAAGCCCTCCTGACAGATGGACATCCAGACTCTACCTAATAGTAACAACAATAACAAAAACAACAACAACAGAAACATATAATCCTAAAGCTTGAAGATATTCTCACGGGTGACATCCAGTCCAACCCCCTTCTGTCAAGCAGGAAAGGCACAATCAAAGCCCTCCTGACAAGGGCCATCCAGTTCACTTCCATCCAGACACAATCAAAGACCTCCCAACAGATGGCCATCCAGCCTCTACATTATCATCATCACCACATCATAGAATTCTAGAGAATGAAGATATTCTCAAGGGGGCCATCCAGTCCAAACCCCTTCTGTCCAAGCCCTCCCAACAGATGGCCATCCAGTCTCTACCTGTTAACAACAATAAGATGGCCATCTAGCCCCCCCCCCAACCCCCAGGTTGAGAAACGATGCCCTAAACTGTCCAAAACCCACAAGGCCTATGGCTCTGGATCTTGCCATTCCAGCGTCTCCTTAAGACACATTCCTTTGGGAGGGATGAAGGATGGCCTTGACCCTCTCCGCCTTTCTCAAAGGAGGTCCCTCAGTCCCTAGGCCTTCTGCGCCATTCCTGAGCACCTTGCCCTACTTCATGTCTCGATCGCTGATCCTGGATTACCCTTGTTTACCACGCTTGCGACCTCTGACCTGACCAAGATGGCTGACCTAGTTCTGGGCTTCAGCCGTGACCTCGGGGCGGAGAGTCTCCCAAAGGCCTCTGGGCTCAAACAGCAACCAAGACAGATTGTCAAAGGCTTTCGTGGCCAGATTCAATGGGTTGCTGTAAGTTTTCCGGGCTGTATGGCCATGCATGCATCTATGGTAGGCATCTTCAGAGGTTGTGAGGCCTGTGTCAATGTTGACTTTTGTGGGGAGGTGGCTGCCAAGGAGTGGAAAGGGTCCACATTTCCTAATGTTACACCATTAAGCTGTATTTCTGGCATTGGAGAGGGATTGGCTGGTGACTGCTGGAACAGCACTTGGGTTTTCTTGACGTTCTTGGTGTTTAGAGTAGCTTGTAGGCCTTCTTCTGAATGCACACAGATGACGTTGTCATCGGCATACTGGAGTTCTATAACAGATGTTGTTGTAACCTTGGTTTTGGTATGTCCTGAGGAGGCACCCATGGAGAGAAGGGCTCAAAACTCAAGTCTCATGGCTCTCAGCCCACAGGAAGTGGGTCAAGGGAATCCTTTCATGAACATCCCTCGTACCTGCCAAATCCATCCTACACAAATCAGCAACAGAATTAGAATTTAAACCCCTCCAAATGATACATCCTCTGTTCATGTCCAGCATTATTTTTAAAGTTTTGACCACTACATTTGGCCCAGCCATAGGTTTTCAAACTCTTGTGTTTACTGTCTACTTGTGAGTTATATTAATTGTATTGTTTATTTTGTTTATTGCTTGTCATTTTATTCCTGCTTGTTGTTTTTGATGTGTTGTTGGGCTTGGCCTCATGGAAGCGGCTCCGAGTCCCTTGGGGAGAAGGTGGCGGGGTAGAAATAAAGTTTTATTATATTACTAGCTTGGGGACCCGGCACTGCCCGGGTTATTTGAGAAAGGCATTGTGTTCCAAGGTTGGTCTTTATCAGTTATTTCAGTGGCTCGCAGTGGTCTCAGGAAGTTAGTGAAGGTACTGCGAGTCCCATCATCTGTGGTCCATCCTCCTCCAAACTGCACCAGGATGGAGAGTGGGTCATGGGGGCTCTGTGTGCCAAGTTTGGTCTTGATCAGTCATTGGATGAGGGACTCAGAGCAGCTTACATGAGGGTCAAGCCCAAACAGCAAATGACAATAAAATAACACCGAAAATGCAAACAATAAACAACAACAACAACATAATTACATAAAACATATGAAAACACAGCAATATAAAATTACAATAGACACAATCACAATGACAATGGGCTGGCGGGCTACATGTAAAAGACAGAGTGATTAAAACGAATTAAAAGATAAGAGAGAGACAGATTATTTGCGGAGAAGGACTCATTATATATAGTGGGGGTTGTGGAAAGAGGGTTTCTCACAAAGGGGGGGACACATATAATCCAATGACACAACATTGAGGTTAAGCAATAGTGCGAGAATGTAAACCTATTCATCAAAAGCGCAGCGGAAGAGCCGGGTTTTAAGGTCCTTTTTAAAGGTTTCTAAGGGAGGGGCAGAGGCAGCCCTAGGTAATTTTCAACGATAAGCAAACAGTATTTTGCCCCCCCCCCCCCAACCAATCACTGATATATATTTTCTGTTCGTTGCGGGAGTTCTGTGTGCCAATTGAACTATACATCCCAGTAGCTACAACTTGCATATGTCAAGGTCTATTTTCCCCCAAGAGCGCCTCAAGAGCGCCCCTGGGCAAAATCAACTCTACCGCGAAGGCTTACTTTGCGTAATGGTTGAACCGCCCCTGGGTAGGTGCTTTCCTAATTTCTCCAATTAGTGAATTCCAGAGTTGGGGGGCCACAGAAGAAAAAGCAATCAGTCCGTGACATAAGCATCTTCCCCTGTCTAAGGGAGGAGAGCAAAGCAAACAACAAAAAAAGCAGCCACCAAGAAGGTCCCCAGGACACTGCGAAGATCACCAAAGATGGACAAGGCTTCCTAAGTCATAACCAATGCTTTGGATTCTTGCAAGAAGGAAGGCACAAACCTCGGGACTAGCATTCCCCAGTCAAGCCCTGAGACGCCACACATAACGAAGCCAACGTATTCAGACAAGACTGACCCGGGAACAATAACACCTGATGCCGATCTGAGACTTCCGTTCTGGTTCCCAGGAGCGGGAAGGCTCCTCCCAGGCCTATTTATTCCTTGACAGCTCTGGAAAGTCGGTCAGTCCGCTCGCCCAAAGGGCAGGTCGCTCAAAACGGAAGCAAGCCACCCATCCCGCCTCTGCTTTGCTCTACTTATGCTAAGAAGCGGCGGAAGAACGGGGCGGCATGAATCACACATACCTTACGTCTTCTTGCTCCTCCGGGGCTCCCGTTTGGCCACAGCCAGACCCGATCCGGCAAAGCTGGGGGCGCACAGAGGGCCAAATGTCAACATACAGAGGCTTTCGAAACATAACCATGCATTTCATATGGATGGGGGAATACTGGGTTTTCAAAGGCTGTCGTGGCCAGAATCACTGGGTTGTTGTGAGTTTTTCAGGCTGTATGGCCATGCTCCGGTAGCATTCTTTCCTGATGTTTCACCTGCATCTGTGGCTGGCATCCTCAGAGGTTTGTTCAGAAGTTTGTTGGAAACTACGCAATAGGAGTATATACAGTGTTCCCTCACTTATTGCGGGAGTTACGTTCCAGGACCGCCCGTGAAAAGTGAAAATCCACAAAGCAGGGACAATATACAGCAATGGTCCTCAAACTATGGCCCGGGGGCCGGATACAGCCCTCCAAGGTCATTTACCCGGCCCTCATTTAGGATCAACCTAAGTCTGAAACGACTTGAAAGCATACAACAACAACAGCAATCCTATCTTATCAGCCAAAAAGCAGGCCCACACTTCCCATTGAAATTTAATTATTGTGTTGTTTTAAGTGTTTTTTGAACTGCAAATAAGATCTGTGCAGTGTGCATAGGAATTCGTTCATTTTTTTTTTCAAATTATAATCCGGCCCTCCTACAGTTTGAGGGACTCTGAACTGGCCCCCTGTTTGAAATGTTTGAGGACCCCTGATATACAGTGTTCCCTTACTTATCGCGGGTCTAACATTCCAGGACCACCCGTGAAAAGTGAAAATCTGTGAAGTACGGACGCTATACAGTGTTCCCGCACTTATCGCACTTAAACGGTTCTGGCCCAAGTTACCTATCCGAACGTATTTCTGCCTATCAGCCTGCCAGGACCCTAAGATCTTCTGGGGAGGTCCTGCTCTCTATCTCGCCTGCTTCACAGGTGCGGCTGGTGGGGACGAGAGACAGGGCCTTTTCTGTGGTGGCCCCTCGGCTATGGAACGCCCTTCCCATGGAGGTAAGATCAGCTCCCTCGCTCATGGTGTTTCGTAGAAGATTAAAAACTTGGATGTTCGAACAGGCCTTTGATTAATCAGTGCAATGAATGTGACGATCACAGGAATTGAAATATGGACGACGAATTTTGGATCTCGACTCTAGTTATGAGACGCATTTGGTTGTTGCTGTTGTGTAATATTGTGTATTGTGCTCTTTTGTTTTGAATTGTAGATTGTTGACTGTTTTTATCCTGTTGTAAACCGCGTTGAGTCACCGGTTAGGCTGAGAAACGGTGGTATACAAATAAAGTAAATAAATAAATAAATAAATAAACTCCAGGACCACCCACAAAAAGTGAAAATCCGTGCTCTATTTATTATTATTATTGTTACATTTATGATTTTACTTTATTGTTATTATTACATTTATTATTTTGCTCAATTTATTATTATTACATTATTTATAATTTTACTTTATTCTTGTTATTATTACATTTATTATTTTACTTTATTATTATTACATTTATAATTTTACTTTATTTATTATTATAATTTATTATTTTACTCTATTTATTATTATTATATTTATTATGTTACTCTAGTTATTATTATTACATCATTTGTTATTTTACTTTATCCTTATTATTACATTTATTATTTTACTCTATTTATTATTTCATTTATTATTTTACTTTATTCTTGTTATTATTACATTTATTATTTTACTCTATTTATTATTACATTTATTATTTTACTCTATTTATTATTACATTTATTATTTTACTTTATTCTTGTTATTATTACATTTATTATTTTACTCTATTTATTATTACATTTATTATTTTACTCTATTTATTATTACATTTATTATTTTACTCTATTTATTATTACATTTATTATTTTACTTTACTCTATTATTATTTTATTACATTTATTTTACTCTATTATTATAACATTTATTATGTTACTTTATTATTATTGTTATTATTACATTTATTATTTTACTCTATTATTGTTATTATTACATTTACATTATTTTACTCTATTATTATTATTACATTTATTATTTTACTCTATTTTTATTATTACATTATTATTTTACTTTATTGTTATTATTACCATTTATTATTTTACTCTATTTATTATTATACATTTATTATTTTTACTTTATTGTTATTATACTGTATATACTCGAGTATAAGCCTAGTTTTTCAGCCCCTTTTTTAGGCTGAGTCAAAGTTATTTATTATTTTAACTCTGTTATTACTATTATTTTTATTACATTTATTATTTTACTCTATTATTGGTATTATTACATTTGCATTATTTTACTCTATTATTTTATTACATTTATTTTACTCTATTTATTATTATTATTATTATTATTATTTATTATTTTACTTTATTGTTATTGTTATATTTATTATTTTACTCTATTTATTATTATTACATCATTTATTATTTTACTTTATTGTTATTATTACATTTATTATTTCACTCTATTTATTATTATTATTACATTTATTATTTTACTCCATTTATTATTATTACATCATTTACTATTTTACTTTCTTGTTGTTATTATTACATTTATTATTTTACTCTATTTATTATTACATTTATTTTACTTTATTGTTGTTATTATTACATTTATTATTTTACTCTATTTATTATTATAACATTTATTATTTTACTTTATTATTGTTATTATTACATTTATTATTTTACTCTATTTATTATTATAACATTTATTTTTTACTTTATTATTGTTATTATTACATTATTATTTTACTCTATTTATTATTACATTATTTATTATTTTACTTTATTTATTATTATTACATTATTATTTTACTTTATTTATTATTATAATTTATTATTTTACTCTATTTATTATTATTATATTTGTTACTCTAGTTATTATTATTATTACATCATTTGTTATTTTACTTTATCCTTATTATTACATTTATTATTTTACTCTATTTATTATTACATTTACTATTTTACTTTATCCTTGTTATTATTACATTTATTATTTTATTCTATTTATTATTATAACATTTATTATTTTACTTTATCCTTATTATTACATTTATTATTTTACTTTATTCTTGTTATTATTACATTTATTATTTTATTCTATTTATTATTATTACATTATTTATTATTTTACTTTATTGTTATTGTTATATTTATTATTTTACTCTATTTATTATTATTACATCATTTATTATTTTACTTTATTGTTATTATTACATTTATTATTTCACTCTATTTATTATTATTATTACATTTATTATTTTACTCCATTTATTATTATTACATCATTTACTATTTTACTTTCTTGTTGTTATTATTACATTTATTATTTTACTCTATTTATTATTACATTTATTTTACTTTATTGTTGTTATTATTACATTTATTATTTTACTCTATTTATTATTATAACATTTATTATTTTACTTTATTATTGTTATTATTACATTTATTATTTTACTCTATTTATTATTATTACATTTATTATTTTACTCTAGTTATTATTATTACATCATTTATTATTTTACTTTATTCTTTTTATTATTACATTTATTATTTTACTCTATTTATTATTATTACATTTATTATTTTACTCTATTATTATTACATTTATTATTTTACTCTATTATTATTATTACATCATTTATTATTTTACTTTATACTTTTTATTATTACATTTATTATTTTACTCTATTTATTATTATTACATTTATTATTTTACTCTAGTTATTATTATTACATTTATTATTTTACTCTAGTTATTATTATTACATCATTTATTATTTTACTTTATTCTTTTTATTATTACATTTATTATTTTACTCTATTTATTATTACATTTATTTTACATTATTGTTGTTGTTATTATATTTATTATTTTACTCTATTAATATTATTATTACATTTATTATTTTACCTTATTTATTATTATTATTATTATTACTATTATTGTTACATTTATTATTTTACTCTATTTTTATTGGAAGGGTATTTACATTGCACATTTACATTGAAGACGGTCGGAACATTTAACCTCCTGATGCCTCAATTATTTCTACATGGTCCTCCTCCTGTCTCCTCTCAGCCTTCTCTTCTGCAGGTTAAACATGCCCAGCTCTTTCAGCCGCTCCTCATAGGGATTGTCCTTCAGACTCTGAATCATTCTAATTGCCCTCCTTTGGAAACATTCCAACTTGAGTCAACATCTCCCTTCAATTGACCAATACACACTCCACTTGCCTCATTTCCAACAGACCTCTGAACAAACCTCTGAGGATGATTGCTACAGGTGCAGGCGAAACATCAGGGGAGAATGCTTCTGGAACATGGGCCAGACAGCCCGGAAAACTCACAGCAACCCCATCAAGTGATAGTTAACTCTTCCCAAACAGAGGATGCCACAAGGCAACAGAGACCTCATGGGCCATTCAGTCCAACCCCTTCCCGAGAAGCAGGAAAATCACATTCAAAGCACCCCCGACAGAGGGCATTGAATATATTTGCAGCTTCAAAGTCTGGCTGCTTCCTGCCTGGGGGGAATCTTTCAAATGATAGTTAACACCTCCCAAACAGAGGATGCCACAAGGCAACATACACACAGCACCCACGACAGATAGCATTGAAATCGCATTCACAGAACCCCCGGCAGATGGCACTGAATAGCTTTGCAGCTTCAAAGCCTGGCTGTTTCCTGATGGGGGAGAGTGCAACCCCTTGCCAAGAAGCAGAGAAAACACATTCAAAGCGTCCCCGACAGATGGCACTGAATAGCTTTGCAGCTACAAAGCCTGGCTGCTTCCTTGCTGGGGGGGACTCCCTGATTGGGAAGTGTTAGCTGGCCCTGATTGTTTCCTGTCTGGATGCCATTAGCCACAGATGCAGGCAAAATGTCAGTAAGGAATGCTTCAAAGCACTCCTGACAGATGGCATTGGATATCTTTGCAGCTGCAAAGCCTGGCTGCTCCCTGCCCGGGGAGACTCCTTGGTTGGGAAGTGTTCGCTGGCCCTGATAGTTTCCTGTCTGGACGCTATTACCCACAAATGCAGGCGAAAGGTCGGTAGGGAATGCTTCAAAGTACCCCTGACAGATGACATTGAATAGCTTTGCAGCTACAAAGCCTGGCTGCTCCCTGCCTGGGGGAAAGTGTTAGCTGGCCCTGATTGTTTCCTGTCTGGATGCCATTAGCCACAGATGCAGGCGAAAGGTCAGTAGGGAATGCTTCAAAGCACCCCTGAACAGATGACATTGAATATATCTTTGCAGCTACAAAGCCTGGCTGCTCCCTGCCCGGGGGAAAGTGTTAGCTGGTCCTGATTGTTTCCTGTCTGGATGCCATTAGTCACAGATGCAGGCAAAAGGTCAGGAGAGAATGCTTCAAAGCACCCCTGACAGATGGCATTGGATATATTTGCAGCTACAAAGCTGGCTGCTCCCTGCCCGGGGGGACTCCTTGGTTGGGAGGTGTTAGCTGGTCCTGATTGTTTCCTGCCTGGATGTTGTTAGCCATGGATGCAGGCAAAAGGTCAGTAGGGAATGTTTCAAAACACCCCTGACAAATAGCATTGAGTATCTTTGCAGCTACAAAGCCTGGCTGCTCCCTGCCCGGAGGAAAGTGTTAGCTGGCCCTGATTGTTTCCTGTCTGGATGCCATTAGCCACAGATGCAGGCGAAAGGTCAGGAGAGAATGCTTCAAAGCACCCCTGACAGATGGCATTGAATAGATCTTTGCAGCTACTAAGCCTGGCTACTTCCTGACTGGGGGGGAGTGCAACCCCTTGCCAAGAAGCAGGGAAATCACATTCAATGGCACTGAATAGCTCTGCAGCTTCAAAACCTGGCTGCTTCCTTGCTGGGGGGACTCCTTGGTTGGGAGGTGTTAGCTAGCCCTGATTGTTTCCTGTCTGGGTTCCATTAGCCACAGATGCAGGCAAAACAGCAGTAGGGAATGCTTCAAAGCACCCTTGACAGATGGCATTCAATAGCTTTGCAGCTGCAAAGCCTGGCTACTTCCTTGCTGGCGGGGTGGCTTCTTGGTTGGGAGGTGTTAGCTGGCCCTGATTGTTTTTTGTCTGGATGCCATTAGCCACAGATACAGGTGAAAGGTTGGGAGGTGTTAGCTGGCCCTGATTGTTTCCTGTCTGGACGCCATTAGCCACAGATGCAGGCGAAAGTCAGTAGGGAATGCTTCAAAGCACCCCCAACAGATTGCATTGAATAGCTTTGCAGCTACTAAGCCTGGCTGCTTCCTTGCTGGGGGGACTTCTTGGTTGGCAGGTGTTAGCTGGTCCTGATTGTTTCCTGCCTGGGTGCCATTAACCACAGATGCAGGCAGAATGTCAGTAGAGAATTCTTCAAAGCACCCCTGACAGATGGCATTGAATATCTTTGCAGCTACAAAGCCTGGCTGCTCCCTGCCTGGGGGAAAGTGTTAGCTGGTCCTGATTGTTTCCTGTCTGAATGCCATTAGCCACAGATGCAGGCAAAAGGTCAGGAGAGAATGCTTCTGGAAGGTGGCCAGGCAGCCTGGGAATGTCGCAGCCCCCCAGCCTGAAAGCCTACGGTGATTGGGATTCCTCCAGAGGGGGAGAAGGGAGGGAAGGCCGGGCAGGGCGGGCAGGGCCTTCTCCTGCCTGGCGGAGGGCCCCCTTCCCTCCCCGGCCCTCCTCTCCTCGGTCTCCCCGGGAGGCGCCTTCCCTCTCCGCCGTCCCTTCCTTCCTTCCTCCCTTCCCGGCCCGCTCCCCTTCCCTTCCCCGCCAGGCCTCCCTCCCGGGCTCACTCTCTCCTCCTCAGGGCCACCCGCGCCGCCATCTTCGATCCATCCGGGCACTTGACTCCGCCCTCCCTCCTCCCTTCGCTGGAGGAACATCCGGGCACTTCACTTGGCTCCGCCCTCCCTCTGGAGCCTCTCTGGAGCGGCGCTGCAGCATCCGGGGACTCTTTCCGCGGCAGGCCGGAAGTGACGACATCGGGAAACACTTTTTTTCCACCCTGAAAGACCGTGGCGCGACATCCGGGGATTGTTTTGTCTAGGAAGCCGGAAGTGCCGACCTTTCTGGTGTCAAGGAGCCAACCAGAGAGTTGTGTTGTGTTTTTAAAGATACAGACACCATTTTTGAAAACTTGGTCTTCTATTCAATGTCCTTGGAGCCACTTAAATTGTATTAAATGTCCTTTAATTTAATCTAATTTAATTTAATTTGAATTTTATTCAATGTCCTTTAATTTAATTGATTTGATTTTAATTTTTTAAATGTCCTTTAATTTAATTAATTTGATTTTAATTATTAAATTGTATTAAATGTCCCTTAATTTAATTCATTAGAATTTTATTCAATGTGCTTTGAGCCATTTAAGTTGTATTAAATGTCCTTTGATTTAATTAATTTAATTATAATTGTTAAATTGTATTAAATGTCCTTTAATTAATTTAATTTTTATTTTTATTGAATGTCCTTTGAGCCACTTCAATTGTATTAAATGTCCTTTAATTAATTTAATAATTTTAATTGTATTCTATGTCTTTGCAGCCACTTAAATAGTATTAAATGTCCTTTAATTTATTTTATTTTATTAAAATAAAATAAATCAAAGGACATTTAATACAGTTTAAGTGACTCAAAGGACATTTAATAAAATAAATTAAATTAAAGGACATTTAATACTATTTAAGTGGCTCCAAGAACACTGAATAAAATTCAAATCTACAATTTAAGTGGCTCAAAGAATATTGAAAAAAATAATTCAATGTCCTTTGAGCCATTTAAATAGTATTAAATGTCCTTTATTTTATTTTATTTATTTTATTTTATTCACCGTCCTTTGAGCCACTTAAATTGTACTAAATGCTCTTTTATTTATTTTATTTAAATTAATTTTATTAAATGTCATTTAATTTCATTAATTTAATTTTTATTCAATGTCCTTTGAGCCACTTACATTGTATTAAATGTCCTTTAATTTTATTCATTTAATAATTTTAATTTTATTAAATGTCCTTTGACCAGTCTCTGTCCCCTTGGAGTGCCTCCGGTGTTGCTGCAAGAAGGTCCTCCATTGTGCATGTGGCAGGGCTCAGGTTGCATTGCAGCAGGTGGTCAGTGGTTTGCTCCCCTCCACACTCGCATGTCGAGGATTCCACTTTGTGGCCCCATTTCTGAAGGTTGGCTCTGCATCTCGTGGTGCCAGAGCGCAGTCTGTTCAGCGCCTTCCAAGTTGCCCAGTCTTCTGTGTGCCCAGGGGGGAGTCTCTCATCTGGTATCACCCATGGATTGAAGTGCTGGGTTTGAGCCTGCCACTTTTGAACTCTCGCTTGCTGAGGTGTTCCAGCAAGGTGTTGAGGTGTTAGATCTGTAGATCTAAGAAAACTTTTTCTTGATTTAAGTCGTTGACGTGCTGGCTGATACCCAAACAAGGGATGAGCTGGAGATGTCTCTGCCTTGGTCCTTTCACTATTGGCTGCTACTTCCCGGCGGATGTCAGGTGGTGCAATACCGGCTAAGCAGTGTAATTTCTCCAGTGGTGTAGGGCGCAGACACCCCGTGATAATGCAGCATGTCTCATGAAGAGCCACATCCACTGTTTGAGCGTGGTGAGATGTGTGTCCACACTGGGCATGTGTACTCAGCAGCAGAGTAGCATAGCGCAAGGGCAGATGTCTTCACTGTGTCTGGTTGTGATCCCCAGGTTGTGCCAGTCTCATGAAGAGCCACATCCTGTTTTAGCGTGGTGAGATGTGTGTCCACACTGGGCATGTGTACTCAGCAGCAGAGTAGCATAGCGCAAGGGCAGATGTCTTCACTGTGTCTGGTTGTGATCCCCAGGTTGTGCCAGTCAGCTTTCGTATGATATTGAAGGACATCAACTGTTTTAACATGGTGAGATGTGTTCCAGACTAGGCGTATTCAGCAGCAGAGTAGCAAAGCGCAACGACAGATGTCTTCACTGTGTCTGGTTGTGATCCCCAGGATGTGGCATGTCTCATTAAGAGCCACATCCACTGTTTTAGCGTGGTGAGATGTGTTCCACACTGGGCATGTGTACTCAGCAGCAGAGTAGCATAGCGCAAGGGCAGATGTCTTCACTGTGTCTGGTTGTGATCCCCAGGTTGTGCCAGTCTCATGAAGAGCCACATCCACTGTTTGAGCGTGGTGAGATGTGTGTCCACACTGGGCATGTGTACTCAGCAGCAGAGTAGCATAGCGCAAGGGCAGATGTCTTCACTGTGTCTGGTTGTGATCCCCAGGTTGTGCCAGTCTCATGAAGAGCCACATCCACTGTTTGAGCGTGGTGAGATGTGTGTCCACACTGGGCATGTGTACTCAGCAGCAGAGTAGCATAGCGCAAGGGCAGATGTCTTCACTGTGTCTGGTTGTGATCCCCAGGTTGTGCCAGTCTCATGAAGAGCCACATCCTCTGTTTTAGCGTGGTGAGATGTGTGTCCACACTGGGCATGTGTACTCAGCAGCAGAGTAGCACAGTGCAAGGGCAGATGCCTTCACTGTGTCTGGTTGTGATCCCCAGGTTGTGCCAGTCAGCTTTTGTATGATATTGTTTCTAGCGCCCACTTTTTGCTTGATGTTCAGGCAGTGCTTCTTGTAGGTCAGAGCACGGTCCAGAGTGACTCCCAGGTATTTGGGTGCGCTGCAATGCTCCAGTGGGATTCCTTCCCAGGTCATTATCCTCAGAGCTTGGGATGCTTGTCTGTTCTTAAGGTGAAAGGCACATGTCTGTGTTTTAGATGGATTAGGGATCAGCTGGTTTTCCCTGTAATAGGCAGTAAGAGCACCTAGAGCTTCGGAGAGCTTCTGTTCAACCATCTCAAAGATCCCTGCTTGAGCAGTGATGGCACGATCGTCAGCATAGATAAAACTCTCTGTCCCTTCTGGCAGTGGCTGGTCGTTTGATCATTTGAACAAATGATCCAACGCCATAGGGAGACCTTTGTAGGGATTTTCGTAACAGGCCGGAAACCTTTTTATCCAGGAAGTGAGTCTCACCGGGATTATTTTGGTGCCTGGCCGGAAGTGTGACCCTATCCGGGGAATGTTCGCAACAGACCGGAACCTTTCTTTCCCCGGAAGTGGGTCTCATCGGGATTATTTTGGTAACGGACCGGAAGTGTGAGCCTCCCCTCAGTTCAGAGTCAAGGAAGCGTCTTTGGGGAGCGGAAGTGCCGCCATTGTCCGCGGCCATGGGCTCCTCGAAGCGGCACCGGGAGCGGGGCGAGGCCCCTGAGGAGAATCCGCCTCCTTCCTCCGGAGCTCCGCCGCCCTCCTCGTCCTCCTCCTCGTCCTCGTCCCGGCACCACCGGGAGCACAAGAAGCACAAGCACCGCAGCGGAGGAGGGGGAGGCGGAGGGGGCGGAGGAGGAGGGAGCAGCGGCGCCGGGAGCAAGCGCAGCGGGAGCCGGGCCGAGCGGAGCCGACAGCGGGGAGGAGGCGGAGGAGGAGAAGAAGGCCCGCCCTCGGCCTCGTCGTCGTCCTCGCAGCGGAGGCAGGAGGGCGAGCGGAGGCCCAAGAGGGAGAAGCGCGGAGAGGCCCACGAGCAGGCCCCACAGGGAGCAAGTGAGGAATCATCATCATCATCATCATAACTAGCAGTACCCGCCACACGTTGTTATGGTCAACCTTCCTTCCCTCTTTCCCTTCTTCTTTCTTCCTTCTCTACCTGTTTCTTTTCTCGCTTCCTTTCCTCTTTGGTTCCATCCTTCCTTGCCTCTTTCCTTCCTTCCCTCCCTCTTTCTCTCATTCGTTCCTTCTCTCCTTCCTTCCCTCTTTTGCTTACCTCCTTCTTTCTTTCCTTCATTCTCCCCTCCTTCTTTCCCTCCTTCTCTCCCTCCCTCCTTCCTTCTCTACCATTCCTTCTTTCTCTCCTTCCCTCCTTCTTTCCCACTTTCTCTCCCTTCTTCTCTCCCTCCTTCCTTCTCTTTCTTTCCTTCCTTCTCTCCTTCCCTCCTTCTTTCCCTCTTTTTCTCCTTCTCTACCCTTCTTTCTTTCCTTCTTTCCCCCTCCTTTCTCTCCCTCCTTCTCTCCTTCCTTCCTTCTTTCTTTACCTTTCTTTCTTCTTTCTCTCCCTCCCTCCATCCTTCTCTACCATTCCTTCTTTCTCTCCTTCCCTCCTTCTTTCCCACTTTCTCTCCCTTCTTCTCTCCCTCCTTCCTTCTCTTTCTTTCCTTCCTTCTCTCCTTCCCTCCTTCTTTCCCTCTTTTTCTCCTTCTCTACCCTTCTTTCTTTCCTTCTTTCCCCCTCCTTTCACTCCGTCCTTCTCTCCTTCCTTCCTTCTTTCTTTACCTTTCTTTCTTTCCTTCTTTCTCTCCCTCCCTCCTTCCTTCTCTACCATTCCTTCTTCCCTCCTTCTTTCCCACTTTCTCTCCCTTCTTCTCTCCCTCCTTCCTTCTCTTTCTTTCCTTCTTTCTCTCCTTCCCTCCTTCTTTCCCTCTTTTTCTCCTTCTCTACCCTTCTTTCTTTCCTTCTTTCCCCCTCCTTTCTCTCCCTCCTTCTCTCCTTCCTTCCTTCTTTCTTTACCTTTCTTTCTTCTTTTCTCTCCCTCCCTCCTTCCTTCTCTACCATTCCTTCTTTCTCTCCTTCCCTCCTTCTTTCCCACTTTCTCTCCCTTCTTCTCTCCCTCCTTCCTTCTCTTTCTTTCCTTCTTTCTCTCCTTCCCTCCTTCTTTCCCTCTTTTTCTCCTTCTCTACCCTTCTTTCTTTCCTTCTTTCCCCCTCCTTTCACTCCGTCCTTCTCTCCTTCCTTCCTTCTTTCTTTACCTTTCTTTCTTTCCTTCTTTCTCTCCCTCCCTCCTTCCTTCTCTACCATTCCTTCTTTCTCTCCTTCCCTCCTTCTTTCCCACTTTCTCTCCCTTCTTCTCTCCCTCCTTCCTTCTCTTTCTTTCCTTCTTTCTCTCCTTCCCTCCTTCTTTCCCTCTTTTTCTCCTTCTCTACCCTTCTTTCTTTCCTTCTTTCCCCCCTCCTTTCTCTCCCTCCTTCTCTCCTTCTTTCACTCCGTCCTTCTCTCCTTCCTTCCTTCTTTCTTTACCTTTCTTTCTTTCCTTCTTTCTCTCCCTCCCTCCTTCCTTCTCTACCATTCCTTCTTTCTCTCCTTCCCTCCTTCTTTCCCACTTTCTCTCCCCCCTTCCTTCTCTTTCTTTCCTTATTTATTTTATTTATTTATTTCTTGCATTTATTAACCGCCGCTCTCAGCCCTAGGGCGACTCGCGGCGGTGTACAGTACAAAAGACACTTACAAAAAATCAGAACAACAACTAACATCATTAATACATAACATCTTAATTACACTAAAAATCCGCTTCGTCATATTATGGAATCGTAATCAATCTCGTAGTCATAGTTCGTTCCGGTTGTCTTTACTAGTAACCTAGCACTTAGTTGAAAGCCTGCTCAAAGAGCCAAGTCTTCAGGCCCTTACGAAAGGCCATGAGGGAGGGGGCCTGTCTAACGTCAGCAGGGAGGGAGTTCCACAGCCGGGGGGCCACCACTGAGAAGGCCCTCTCTCTCGTCCCTGCCAGACGTGCCTGTGAAGCGGGCGGGATCGAGAGAAGGGCCTCCCCGGATGATCTCAAGGCCCTCGTGGGCTCATAGGACGAGATGCGGTCCGAAAGGTATTTTGGGCCGGAACCGTTTAGGGCTTTGTAGGATAACACCAGCACCTTGAATTGGGCCCGGTAGCAGATCGGCAGCCAGTGGAGCTGGGACAACAAGGGCGTTGTGTGCTCCCTGCGTCCCGCTCCTGTTAGTAACATGGCTGCCGCGCGCTGGACTAGCTGAAGCTTCCGGACCGTCTTCAAGGGCAGCCCCACGTAGAGAGCGTTGCAGTAGTCAAGTCCTTCTTTCTCTCCTTCCCTCCTCCTTTCCCTCCCTCCTTCTCTCCTTCCTTCCTTCTCTACCCTTCTTTCTTTCCTTCTTCTCCTTCCCTCTCTCTCCTCTTTCTTTCCCTTTTCTCTCCCTCCTTCCTTCTCTTTCTTTCTCTTCTCTCTTCCTCCTTCTTCCCTCTTCTCTCCCTCCTTCTCTCCCTTCCTTCCTTCTCTTCCTTCTTTCTTCCTTTTTTCTTCCTTCCTCTTTCCTCTCCCTCTTCTTCCTCTTCTTTCTCCCTCCTTCCTTCTCTTTCTTCCTTCTTTCTCTCCTTCCCTCCTTCTTCCCTCTTTCTCTCCCTCCTCTATTTTCTCTATTCTTCCTTCTCCTTCTTTCTCTCTTCCTCCTTCCTTTCCTTCTCTACCCTTCTTTCTTCTTCTTTATCTCCTTCCCTCCTTCTTTCCCCTCCTTCTCTCTTCTCCTTCCCTTCTTTCTTCTCCTTTCCTTCTTCCCTCCTCCTTCTCTTTTCTTTCTTCTTTCCTTCCTCCCCTCCTCCTTTCCCTCTTTCTCCCCTCCTTCTCTCTTTCCTCTCCTTCTTCCCTCTTTCTCTCCCTCCTTCTCTCCTTCCTTCCTTTTCTACCCTTCTTTCCTTCTTTATCTCTTTCCCTCCTTCTCTCCTTTTTTCCTTCCTTCTCTACCCTTCTTTCTCTCCTTCCCTCCTTTCCCTTCTTCTCTCCCTCCTTCCTTCTTTTTCTTTCCTTCTCTCCCTTCCTTCCTTCTTTACCTTTCTTTCTTTCATTCCCTCCTTATTTATTTATTATTTACTTTGCAGTTTCTCAGCCCGTAGGCAACTCAACGCGGTTCACAACAGAGCAAAAAGACAGTCATATCAAAATAACAATAACAATTTAAAACCATGAGAGCATAATATACAAGTAATGGCACATCAATAACAACACAATAATGTCTCGTCACTAGAATCGTGATCCAACTCGTCGTCTATAATTCCGTTCCTATATTCATCGTATTCATTGCACTGTTTATCTGAATGCCTGTTCGAACAGCCAGGTTTTTAATTTTCTTCGAAACACCATTAACGTCGGAGCTGATCTTATGTCCATGGGAAGGGCGTTCCACAGCTGAGGGGCCACCACAGAGAAGGCCCTGTCCTCGTCCCCGCCAGCCGTGCTTGCGATGCAGGCGGGATCGAGAGCAGGGCCTCCCCAGAAGATCTTAGAGTCCTGGTGGGTTCATAGGCAGAGATACGTTTGGATAGGTAGCTTGGGCCAGAACCGTTTAGGGCTTTATAGGCCAACGCCAGCACTTTGAATTGAGCCCGGTAGCAAATCGGCAGCCAGTGGAGCTGGTGCAGCAGAGGAGTTGTGTGCTCCCTGCGCTCCGCTCCTGTTAGTATCATGGCTGCCGCCCGTTGGACTAATTGGAGCTTCCGGGCCGTCTTCAAAGGCAACCCCACGTAGAGAGCGTTGCAGTAGTCTAAACGGGATGTAACCAGAGCGTGGACTACCATGGCCAAGTCAGACTTCCCAAGGTACGGGCGCAGCTGGCGCAGAACCTTCTTTTCTCCTCTCCTTCCTTCCTTTTCTACCCTTCTTTCCTTCTTCTCCTTCTCTCCTTCTTTCTCTCCCTCTTCTCTCCTTTCCTCCTTCTTCCTTCTCTCTCCTTCCTTCCTTTCCTTCCTTCCTTCCTTCTTCTCTTCCCTCCTTCCTCCCCTTCTTCTTCCTTCTTTCCTTTTCCTTCCCTCCTCCCTTCTTCCTTCCTTTCTTTCTCTCCTTCCTCCTTCTTCCTTCCTTTCCTCTTCTTTCCCTTCTTCTCTTCCCCTTCCTTCCTTCCCTTCTTCTTTCCTTTTTTTCTCTTCTCTCCTTCCCTTTCTTTCCCTTCCTTTCTCTCCTTCCTTCCTAATCTTTCTTTCCTTCTTTTCTCCTTCCCTCCTTCTTCCCTTTTCTTCTCTCTCCTTCCTTCCTTCTCTACCCTTATTTTTCCTTCCTTCTCTCCTTCCCTCCTTCTTTCTCTTCTTCTCTCCCTCTTTCTCTACCTCCTTCCTTCTCTACCTTTCTTTCTTTCCTTCTTTCTCTCCTTCCCTCTTCCCTTCCTTCTCTACCCTTCTTTCTTCCTTCTTTCTCTCCTTCCCTCTCTCCTTCTTTTTTCTTTCCCTTTTCTCTCCTTCCTTCCGTCTCTACACTTGTTTCTTTCCTTCTTTCCCTCCTTCCTTCCCTCTTTCTTTCCCTCCTTCTCTTGTTCCTTCCTTCTCTACCCTACTTTCTTTCCTTCTTTCTCTCCTTCCCTCCTTTCTTCTCCGCAGGAGGCCGAGCGGAGGCCCAAGCGGGAGAAGGCCAAGCAAGGCCCATGAGCAGGCTGCCCAGGGAGCCAGTGAGAGAGTGGGGGAAGCTCCAGGCACCTCCTTGGCCTCCCTTCTTGCTTGCTTCTTTCCTCCTCCCTGCTCTTCTTTTTCCTTCTTCTGCAATTATCTGATAAGCAGGATGTATTTCCATTCACTGGACCAAATTTGGAACAAATACCCGATATGCCCAAATTTGAATAGTGGTGGGATTGGGGTGTGTGTGATTTTGTCATTTGGGAGTTGTAGTTGCTTGGATTTATAGTTCACCTACAATCACAGAGCATTCTGAACCCCACCAATGATAGAATTAGGCCAAACCTCCCACACACAACCCCCATGTGGGCCACAGCAACGCGTGGCAGGGGATGGCTAGTCTATATAAATAAAAATATCATGTTTGCTTGTGGCATTAACATAACTCAAAAACCACTGAACGAATTGACACCAAATTTGGACACAAGACACCTAACAACCCAATGTATGTCCTTCACTTTAAAAAATTGATTTTTTTTCATTTGGGAGTTGTAGTTGCTGGGATTTATAGTTCACCTACAATCACAGAGCATTCTGAACCCCACCAACGATGGAATTAAACCAAACTTGGCAGACCGTTCTCCCATGACCCACAGAAAATAGTGGAAGGGTTTGGTGGGCATTGACCTTGAGTTTGGGAGTTGTAGTTCACCTACATCCAGAGGTCACTGTGGACTCAAACAATGATGGATCTGGACCAAACTTGACAGGAATACTCAATATGCCCAAATGTGAACACTGGTGGAGATTGGGGAAAATAGAATCTTGATATTTGGGAGTTGTAGTTGCTGGGATTTATAGTTCACCTACAATAAAGAGCATTCTGAACCCCACCAATGATAGAATTGGACCAAACCTCCCACACAGAACCCCCATGTGCCACAGCAACGCGTGGCAGGGGATGGCTAGTCTATATAAATAAAAATGTAATGTTCACTTGTGGCATTAACGTAACTCAAAAACCACTGGACGAATTGACACCAAATTTGGACACAAGACACCTATGAGGCCAAGGAGTGACCATCACTCATAAAAACACTGAAAAACACAGCAGAAGAGGCTTAAAAGCCCCAAAAAATACATTACAGTGCATGTGCAAAACCACATATACACACAAACACATATATACAAATATATACACACATATATGCATATTTATACACACAAAACACATACACAGAAAAGGGGAAGGAAGGAAGGAGAGAAAGAGGGAAAGAAGGCGGAAAGGAGAGAAGGAAGGAAAGAAAGGTAGAGGAGGAAGGAAGGAGAGAAGGAAATAAAATAAGGAAGGAAAGAGAGGGAAGGAAGGAGAGAAAGAGGGAGAGAAAGAAGGAGGGAAGGAGAGAAAGAAAGGTAAAGAAGGAATGGGAGAAGGAAATAAAAAGTGAAAGAAGGAAAGAGAGAGGGAAGGTAGGAGAGAAGGAACAAAGGAGAGAAGAAGGAAGGAGAAGGAGGGAGAGAGGAAAGGGAGAGGGAGGAGGAAGAAAGAAAGGTAAAGAAGGAGGAGAGAGAAATAAAAGAAAGAAGGAAGGAGAGAAGAGAGGGAAGGAAGGAGAGAAGGAACAAGGAGAGAAAGAGGAAGGAAGGAAGGAGGAGAAAGAGGAAGAGAGAAAGAAAGAAAGAAAGAAAGAAGCAAGGAGAGAAGGAAATAAAGTGAAAAAAGGAAGGAGAGAAAGAGGGAAGGAAGGAAGGAGACAAGGAGGGAGAGAAAGAAGGAGGGAAGGAGAGGAAGGAAGGAGAGAAGAAAATAAAATGAAAGAAGGAAGGAGAGAGGGAACGAAGGAGACAAGGAGGGAGAGAAAGAAGGAGGGAAGGAGAGAAAGAAAAGTAAAGAAGGAAATAAAAAAGCGAAAGAATCAAGGAAAGAGAAAGGGAAGGAGAGAAGGAAAGAGGCAAGGAAGGAACCAACGAGCAAAGAAAGGGAGGAAAGAAACAGGTAGAGAAGGAAGAAAGAAGAAGGGAAGGAAAAAGAGAGAAGGAAGGAGAGAAAGAGGGAGGGAATGTTGGCCACAGCAACACGTGGCGGGTACAGCTAGTAATAATAATAAACTTTATTTAATATCCCACCAGTGGGGACTCGGGGCGGTTTACATGAGGCCAAGCCCAACAGCCTATTACAATAAAATAAAACCAAAACACAATAACAACACAGTAAAATACATACAACATATGAGTGCAAAAAGAAAAAACACGATAAAGCAAAATCATACAAAACAAAATAATGAGCGGGCCGCATGTGCAAGATAAAAACTAAAACACTAAAAATGCTAAAATCAGGATGAGATAGGGATAGAGCAGATTGTTTGTGAGGGAGAAACTCAGTCCACTTCCTCCTCTTAGCTGCCTTGGGGAGGGTTGAGGGGAGAGAAGCAGCAGGATTTCCTCCTCCTGAGGTGGCAGGCAGATGTAGTAAGCCAGTGGTTCTCAACCTGGGGGTCGGGACCCCTGGGGGGGTCGTGAGGGGGTGTCAGAGGGGTCACCAAAGACCATCAGAAAACACAGTATATTCTGTTGGTCATGGGGGTTCTGTGTGGGAAGTTTGGCGGAATTGTATCATTGGTGAGCTTCAGAATGCTCTTTGTTTGCAGGTGAACTATAAATTCCAGCAACTACAACTCCCAAATGTCAAGGTCTGTTTTCCCCAAACTCCACAAGTATTCACATTTGGGCATATGGAGTATTTGTGCCAAGTTTGGTCCAGATACATCATTGTTTGGGTTAACAGTGCTCTCTGGATGTAGGTGAACTACAGCTCCCAAACTCAAGGTCAATGCCCACCAAACCCTTCCAGTATTTTCTCTTGATCATGGGAGTTCTGTGTGCCATGTTTGGTTCTATTCCATCATTGGTAGAGTTCAGAATGCTCTTTTAATTTAAATGAACCATAAATCCCAGCAACTACAACTCCCAAATGACAAAACCAACCCACCAACCCCACCAGTATTCAAATTTGGGCATATTGGGTATTTGTGTCAAATTTGGTCCAGTGAATGAAAATACATCCTACATATCAGATATTTACATTATGATTCATACCATTAGCAAAATGACGGTTATGAAGTCGCAACAAAAATAATGTTGTGGTTGGTGGTCACCACAACATGAGGAACTGCATTAAGGGGTCGCAACATTAAGAAGGTTGAGAAACACTGTAGTAAGCAATAGCCAGGTTGACTCTGTGCGAGGGCCGGGTAAATGACCTCAGAGGGCCGTATCCAGCCCCCGGGCCTTAGTTTGAGGAGCCCTGCTTTACAGTTAATGAAAAATTATTCATGACCCTCTCCTGTAAGGACTGCAGAGTTTCCTTGCTCTTTTCCCTTTTGAGTAAGACTTCTCCCCTCTCTCTCTCTCTCTCTCTTCCCAAACAGCATCCAGCTCCAAGTCTTCCTCGGGAGATGCTTCGCTCAGCATCGAAGAGACAAAGTAAGTATTTATTTTATTTATCGTGTCAGGAGCGAACCAAACAGTTGTATTGCATTAAAAACAAACAAACAAACAAAACACAAAGTTTGCAAGCTTGGTAGTTGATGAAATGTCCTTTGACCAGTATCTGTCCCCTTGGAGTGCCTCTGGTGTTGCCGCAAGAAGGTCCTCCCTTGTGCATGTGGCAGGGCTTAGGTTGCATTGCAGCAGGTGGTCAGTAGTTTGCTCTTCTCCCCACTCGCATGTTGTGGATTCAACTTTGTGGCCCCATTTCTTGAGTGCAGTCTGTTCAGTGCCTTCCAAGTTGCCCAGTCTTCTGTGTGCCCAGGGGGGAGTCTCTCATTTGGTCTTAGCTGGGTTTGAGCCTGCCACTTTTGGACTCTTGCTTGCTGAAGTGTTCCAGCGAGTGTCTCTGTCGATCTTAGAAAACTATTTCTTGATTTAAGTCGTTGGCGTGCTGGCTGATACCCAAACAAGGGATGGGCTGGAGATGTCACTGCCTTGGTCCTTTCACTATTGGCTGCTACTTCCCGGCGGATGTCAGGTGGTGCAATACCGGCTAAGCAGTGTAATTTCTCCAGTGGTGTAGGGCGCAGACACCCCGTGATAATGCGGCATGTCTCATTAAGAGCCACATCCACTGTTTTAGTGTGGTGAGATGTGTTCCACACTGGGCATGCGTACTCAGCAGCAGAGTAGCATAGCGCAAGGGCAGATGTCTTCACTGTGTCTGGTTGTGATCCCCAGGTTGTGCCAGTCAGCTTTCGTATGATATTGTTTCTAGCACCCACTTTTTGCTTGATGTTCAGGCAGTGCTTCTTGTAGGTCAGAGCACAGTCTAGAGCAGGGGTCGGGAACCTTTGGCCCTCCAGCTGTGGTGGACTTCAACTCCCACAATTCCTTGAGGCTCGGCATTCGCCCCAAAGGCTTACCTTGGCCCAACGAGGTTTGTTTGGCTCTTTTTCATGGAGGACGGGCAGCAAAGGGGGAGAGACGAGCGTAACGTAGCTGTGCAGATGGCGAGGAAGGATGCGGAGCCTACAGACTGGCCTCGGAGGGAGAGAGCGGGCGGAAACCCCTGCGGGCAACGCGCCTCCTCGCCGCTTAAACAGCGCAGAGCCCTTTCCCTCCAGCCTTCGCCTTCCCTTTTCCCCGACAAGCTCTGCACGACGTCACTCAGCCGGCGTCGTTGCTAGGGAGGGGGTCCATGCGGGGCGGGTGCTAAGGGCCGAAGCGGCGAGGAAGCGCGTTGCCCGCAGGGGTTTCCGCCCGCTCTCTCCCTCCGAGGCCAGTCTGTGGGCTCCGCATCCTTCCTCGCCATCTGCACAGCTACGTTACGCTCGTCTCTCCCCCTTTGCTGCCCGTCCTCCATGAAAAAGAGCGAAACAAACCTCGTTGGGCCAAGGTAAGCCTTTGGGGCGAATGCCGAGCCTCAAGGAATTGTGGGAGTTGAAGTCCACCACAGCTGGAGGGCCAAAGGTTCCCGACCCCTGGTCCAGAGTGACTCCCAGGTACTTGGGTGAGCTGCAATGCTCCAGTGGGATTCCTTCCCTGGTAGTAATCCTCAGAGCTCGGGATGCCTGTCTGTTCTTGAGGTGAAAGGCGCATGTCTGTGTTTTAGATGGGTTAGGGATCAGCTGGTTTTCCCTGTAATAGGCAGTAAGAGCACCTAGAGCTTTGGAAAGCTTCTGTTCAACCATCTCAAAGCTCCCTGCTTGAGCGTAATGGCACGATCATCAGCATAGATGAAACTCTCTGTCCCTTCTGGCAGTGGCTGGTCATTTGTGTAGATGTTGAACATGGATGGAGCAAGCACGCTCCCCTGAGGCAGGCCGTTCTTCTGTTTCCGCCATCTACTTCTCTGTCCCTGGAACTCAACAAAAAAGCTCCTGTTTTGCAGCAGGTTTCCTATGAGGGGGTGAGGTGGTAGTCCTTTGTGATATTATACATTTTTCTCAGGAGGAGGTGGTGGTTCACAGTATCATAGGCTGCTGACAGGTCTATGAAGACAGCTCCTGTGATCTGCTGCCTTTCAAAGCCATCTTCTATGTGCTGAGTCAGGTTCAGCACTTGCGATGTGCAGTTTCTGCCTTTCCTGAAGCCAGCTTGCTGTGGGATCAGACAGGGGTCTATTTTTTCCATAATTCTATGCAAAATAAGTCTCTCCAGAACTTTGTAGAGGTGGCACAACAGGGAGATTGGTCTGTAGCTTTTTGGGTCATTACGGTCTTTGCCTGGCTTCAGGATGGCGATGACTCTTGCTTTCCTCCAGATTTTGGGGATCTGACAGGATGCAGTGCAGTTGTTCATCAGCTCCAGCAGCCAGCGCCTTGCTTTTGGACCAAAGTTCTTGATTTGTTCCATCCGTAGATCATCCAGGCCAGCTGCTTTGCCATTTTACATTTGTTGAGAGCCATGTCCAATTCAGTAGGTGTAAAGGGTTCATGAAGGTTGTTGTTCTCAATCTCTGGTTGTCTGGCGATTGGTTTCTTTCCTACTTTGGTGACAAGGTTGGGTTTCCCATTCTTTAAGCTGCATACATCTATTTTCTGAAGACCTGGTTCCAGAACCATGATTTTAATTTTTTTTCTAAAGGTCAGGAGCGAGGGAGCAGATCTTACCTCCTTTGAGAGTGTGTTCCATGGGAAGGGGGGGGCACCACCGAGAAGGTCCTGCTCCTCGTCCCCGCCAGCCGCATTTGCGCTGTTGACGGGAGCGAAGGCAGGGCCTCCCCGGATGATCTTAAATTGCGAGGTGGGACGTAGGGGCAGATGCGTAAGACAAGTAAGCTGGGCCCGAACCGTATAGAGCTTTATAGGTCAAGACAAGCACTTTGAATTGGCCTCAGAGATGAACACTCACCTTGACATTTTGATCTTGGTGGCAAATGTTTATGTGGTGATGTTCCAAAATGGCGACCTCCACTTGCTGGATGGTGTGTTCGTCAGTAGCAGAGCGGGGTCGCCCTGGAATGGGAGCTGTTTGCACCAAAGTCTGACCATATTGGAATGGATGATGCCAGTGGTGTAGGGCACAAACACCCCGTGATAATGTGGCATGTCTCATCAAGAGCCACATCCACTGTTTTGGCGTGGTGAGATATGTTCCACACGACAAAGTAAGTGGAACAGAGGCTGGAGATGTAAAAGTGTCTTCCCCTGAGCCCTTGTCTTGGGGAGAGCTCCATTTGGGCTCGGCAGCAGATTCTGCAAGTTTGCTAAGGTTTGGGTGCGACGGATCCCTGAGCCCTTGTCTTGGGGAGAGCTCCATTTGGGCTCGGCAGCAGATTCTGCAAGTTTGCTAAGGTTTGGGTGTGACGGATGCAGAGCAGGAGATTTCAGCTTTGGGTATTTTCAAGGAAAAGCTTGCAACGCCTTGCTCAAAGTGTCGCGGAGGGCTAGACATCGCAGGCCTAGGACGAGGGTTTGTGTAACTCTGGTTTCCTTTTCCTTCCCACAGTAAACTCCGAGCGAAACTCGGGCTGAAGCCTCTGGAAATAAATTCCATCAAAAAGGGTAAGTCCAAAGCATGGGAAGTCCTGCTCTCCATGCTCTATTCTGCCCTGGTTAGACCACATCTGGAATCACACTGTGTCCAATTTTGGGCACCACAGTTGAAGGGAGATGTTGACTCTAAGCTGGAATGTGACTAAAATGATCCAGGGTCTGGAGAACAAGCCCTATGAGAAAGGGAGAGAAGCAGGGAAAGGAGAGAAGGAAGGAAAGAAGGAAAGAAGGGTAGGGAAGGAAGGAGATAAAGAAGGAAAGGAAGAAGGGGAGAGAAGGAAAGAAAGAAAGGTAGCGAAGGAAAGAGGGAGAGGAAGGGAGAGAAGAAAGGAAAGAAGGAGAGAAAGAAAGGTAGAGAAGGAAGGCAGGAGAGAAAGAGGGAGAGAAGGAGAGAAGAAATAAAGTGAAAGAGGAAGGAAGGAAGGAAGGAAGGAGAGAAGGAAAGAGGAAGGAGAGAAGGAAGAAGAGAGAAAGAGGGAGGGAGGGAAGGAAGGAAGGAAGGAAGGAAGGAAGGAAGGAAGGAAGGAAGGAAAAAGACAAGGAAGGATGGAACTAAAGAGCAAAGGAAGCGAGAAAAGAAACAGGTAAAGAAGGAAGAAAGAAGAAGAGAAAGAAAAAGAGGGAAGGAAGGAAAGAAAGAGGGAGGGAAGGTTGGCCACAACAACGTGTGGCAGGTACAGCTAGTAAACATAATATTACACTAATATTATGACAAGAAACCATGATTACAACAATAATCCTATAATGTAATAACCAAAATGACAACAATAATCTAACAATGACATCAACTCAAGGTAGGCTTGAGTTCGAACGGTAGGCCAAGGCCTTTCTGGACTACGCTTCCCAGAATCTCTCAGGAGTCTGATAGTCTCCTGGAGAACAAGCCCTATGAGGAGCGGCTTAAGGAGCTGGGCATGTTTAGCCTGAAGAAGAGAAAGCTGAGAGGAGACATGATGAGGGCCATGGATAAATATGTGAGAGGAAGCCACAGGGAGGAGGAGGGAGCAAGCTTGTTTTTTGCTTCCTTGGAGACTAGGACGCAAGGGAGCAATGGCTTCAAACTACAAGAGAGGAGATTCCATCTGAACATGAGGAAGAACTTCTTGACTGTGAGCCGTTCAGCAGTGGAACTCTCTGCCCTGGAGGGAGTGTGGTGGAGGCTCCTTCTTTGGAAGGTTTTAAACAGAGGCTGGATGGCCATCTGTCAGGAGTGCTTTGAATATTGAATATTCCTGCTTCTTGGCAGAATGGGGTTGGACTGGATGATGGCCCAGGAGGCCTCTTCCAACTCTAGGATTCTAGGATTCTATGAGTCGTCTTCAAGGGAGAGGGGATTATGGGATATGGACTCTTCCTGGCAGAATGGGTTAGGATGGGCTGGCCCACGAGGTCTCTTCCAAGTCTGATTCTATCTTTCTCAATCTCCAGAAACAGGCAGCAAGGAGGACCCGGTGGCGGCCGAGGTCATCAACCCGATTGTCTTGAGGCAGCGAGAGGAGATCCGGGAAAAGCTCGCGGCCGCCAAAGAGAAGCGCCTCCTCAACCAGAAATTGGGGTACGTTTGTGCGTGACAGATCCAGATCTTGACCACACTGGTTTGGATGCCCTCTGGGGTGTCCCTTTGGGACTGACCGTCTTCTCTTCATCAGGAAGGTCAAGTCCCTCGGCGAAGATGACCCCTGGCTGGACGACACAGCGGCCTGGATCGAGAGGAGCCGCAAGCTGCAGGTGGAGAAGGAGCTGGCCGAGAAGAGGGTGAGTCGCCTACTACTACTGCTACGACTAATAATAATAATAATAATATGGTATTATAATTATTATCTCTATATAAATAACAATGTAATGTTCGTTTGTGGGATTAACATAACTCAAAAACCACTGGATGGATTGACACCAAATTTGGACACAAAACACCAATTGGGTCAACAAATGACCATCACTCATGAAAACACTGAAAACACAACAAAGGGGACTTAAAAGGCCAAAAAACCAAAAAAATACATTACAACACATGCACAAAACCACATATATATACACAAACACACATATATACACACATATATGCATATACACACACAAAACACATACACAGAAAGGAGGGAAGGAGAGAAGGAAGGAAAAAAGAAGGGTAGAGAAGGAAGGAGAGAAAGAAGGAAGGAAAGAAAGGGAGAGAAGAAGGAGGGAAGGAGAGAAGGAAGGAGAGGGAAGGAGAGAAAGAAGGAAAGAAAGATAGAGAAGGAAGGAAGGAAAGAAGAAGGGAAAGAAGGAGAGAAAGATAGAGAAGGAAGGAAGGAAAGAAGAAGGGAAAGAAGGAGAGAAGGGAGGAAAAAAGAAGGGTAGAGAAGGAGGGAGAGAAAGAGGGAAGGAGAGAAGGAAGGACATTAAAAAGAGTAGAGAAGGAAGGAAGCAAAGAAGGAGGGAAGGAGAGAAAGAAGGAAAGAAAGATAGAGAAGGAAGGAAAGAAGAAGGGAAAGAAGGAGAGAAAGAAGGAAAGAAAGAGAAGGAAGGAAGGAAAGAAGAAGGAAAAGAAGGAGGGAAGGAGAGAAAGAAGGAAAGAAAGATAGAGAAGGAAGGAAGGAAAGAAGAAGGGAAAGAAGGAGAGAAAGATAGAGAAGGAAGGAAGGAAAGAAGAAGGGAAAGAAGGAGGGAAGGAGAGAGAAGGAAAGAAAGATAGAGAAGGAAGGAAGGAAAGAAGAAGGGAAAGAAGGAGGGAAGGAGAGAAAGAAGGAAAGAAAGATAGAGAAGGAAGGAAGGAAAGAAGAAGGGAAAGAAGGAGAGAAAGAAGGAGAGAAAGATAGAGAAGGAAGGAAGGAAAGAAGAAGGGAAAGAAGGAGGGAAGGAGAGAAAGAAGGAAAGAAAGATAGAGAAGGAAGGAAGGAAAGAAGAAGGGAAAGAAGGAGGGAAGGAGAGAAAGAAGGAAAGAAAGATAGAGAAGGAAGGAAGGAAAGAAGAAGGGAAAGAAGGAGAGAAAGAAGGAAAGAAAGATAGAGAAGGAAGGAAGGAAAGAAGGGAGGAAAAAGAAGGGAGAGAAGGAGGAGAGGAAAAGAGGGAAAGGAGGAGAAGGAAGGGAAAGAAAAAAGGTAGAGAAGGAAAGGGAAGAAAGAAGGAGGGAAGGAGAAAGAAGGAAAGAAAGAAGGGAAGAAGGAAGGAAAAAGAAAAGGAAGGAAAAAAGAAAGAAGAAAGGGAGGGGAAGGAGAGGAGAGAAAAGAAGGGAAAGAAAGAAGAGAAGGGAAGGAAGGAAAGAAGAAGGAAAAGAAGGGAGAAAGAAGGAGAGAAAAGAAGATAGAGAAGGAAGGGAAGGAAAAGAAGAAGGGAAAGAAGGGAGAGAAGGAAGGAAAAAAGAGGGGTAGAGAAGGAGGGAGAGAAAGAGGGAAGGAGAGAAGGAATGGAAAAAAAAGAGAGAGAAGGAAGGAAGAAAGGAGGAGGAAGGAGAGAAAGAAGGAAAGAAAGAAGGAGAAGGAAGGAAAGAAGAAAGGGAAAGAAGGAGAGAAAGAAGGAAAGAAAAGAGAGGAAAGGAAGGAAAGAAAAGGAAGAGGAAGGGAGAGAAAAGAAGGAAGGAAAAGAAGAGAAGGAGAAGGAAAGAAGGAAAAGGAGAGAAGGGAGAGAAAAGAAGGAAGGAAGGACAAAAAATTCTTTGATTGTTTTGCTCCCCCGTTGGGAGTCTCCAGAGGGAAAAGTGGGAGGGAAAGAAAGGAAAGAGAAGGGAAAGAAGGAGGGAAGGAGAGGAAAGAAGAAAAAAAGATAGAGAAGGAAGGAAGGAAAGAAGAAGGGAAAGAAGGAGAGAAAGAAGGAAAGAAAGATAGAGAAGGAAGGAAGGAAAGAAGAAGGGAAAGAAGGAGAGAAAGAAGGAAAGAAAGATAGAGAAGGAAGGAAGGAAAGAAGAAGGGAAAGAAGGAGGGAAGGAGAGAAAGAAGGAAAGAAAGATAGAGAAGGAAGGAAGGAAGGAAAGAAGAAGGGAAAGAAGGAAAGAAAGATAGAGAAGGAAGGAAAAAAGAAGGGAAAGAAGGAGAGAAAGAAGGAGAGAAAGATAGAGAAGGAAGGAAGGAAAGAAGAAGGGAAAGAAGGAGGGAAGGAGAGAAAGAAGGAAAGAAAGATAGAGAAGGAAGGAAGGAAAGAAGAAGGGAAAGAAGGAGGGAAGGAGAGAAAGAAGGAAAGAAAGATAGAGAAGGAAGGAAGGAAAGAAGAAGGGAAAGAAGGAGAGAAAGATAGAGAAGGAAGGAAGGAAAGAAGAAGGGAAAGAAGGAGAGAAGGGAGGAAAAAAGAAGGGTAGAGAAGGAGGGAGAGAAAGAGGGAAGGAGAGAAGGAAGGACATTAAAAAGAGTAGAGAAGGAAGGAAGCAAAGAAGGAGGGAAGGAGAGAAAGAAGGAAAGAAAGATAGAGAAGGAAGGAAGGAAAGAAGAAGGGAAAGAAGGAGAGAAAGAAGGAGAGAAAGATAGAGAAGGAAGGAAGGAAAGAAGAAGGGAAAGAAGGAGGGAAGGAGAGAAAGAAGGAAAGAAAGATAGAGAAGGAAGGAAGGAAAGAAGGGAAAGAAGGAGAGAAAGATAGAGAAGGAAGGAAGGAAAGAAGAAGTGAAAGAAGGAGAGAAAGGAAGAAAAGATAGAGAAGGAAGGAAAGGGAAAGAAGAAGGAAAAAGAAGGAGAGAAGGAGAAAAAAAGAAGAGAAGAAGGGAGGGGAGAAAGAGGGAAGGGAGAGGGAAGGAGGGAAGGAAAAAAAGAGAGAAGAAGGAAGGAAGAAAGAAGGAGGGAAGGAGAAAGAAGGAAAGAAGAAGGAGAAGGAAGGAAAGAGAAGGGAAAAAGAAGGAGAAGAAAGAAAAGGAAAGAAAGAAGAAGAAGGAAGGAAGGAAAAGAAAGAAGGAGAAGAAGGAGGAAGAAGAAGGAAGGAAAAGAGAGAAGGAAAGGAAAGGAAAGAAGGAAAGGAGAGAAAAAGGAAAAGGAAGAAGAAGGAAGGGGGGAAGGAAGGAAAGAAGAAGGAAAAGAAAGAAGGGAAGGAGAGAAAAGGAAGGAAAGAAAGATAGAGAAGGAAGGAAGGAAAGAAGAAGAGAAGGAGGAAAGAAGGAGAGAAAGAAGGAAAGAAAGATAGAGAAGGAAGGAAGGAAAGAAGAAGGGAAAGAAGGAGGGAAGGAGAGAAAGAAGGAAAGAAAGATAGAGAAGGAAGGAAGGAAGGAAAGAAGGGAAAGAAGGAGAGAAAGAAGGAGAGAAAGAAGGAAAGAAAGATAGAGAAGGAAGGAAGGAAAGAAGAAGGAAAGGAGGGAAGGAGAGAAAGATAGAGAAGGAAGGAGGGAAAGAAGGGAAGGAGAGAAAGAAGGAAAGAAAGAAGGGTAGAGAAGGAAGGAAGGAGAAAGAAGAAGGGAAAGAAGGAGGGAAGGAGAGAAAGAAGGAAAGAAAGATAGAGAAGGAAGGAAGGAAAGAAGAAGGGAAAGAAGGAGAGAAAGATAGAGAAGGAAGGAAAGAAGAAGGGAAAGAAGGAGAGAAGGGAGGAAAAAAGAAGGGTAGAGAAGGAGGGAGAGAAAGAGGGAAGGAGAGAAGGAAGGACATTAAAAAGGGTAGAGAAGGAAGGAAGCAAAGAAGGAGGGAAGGAGAGAAAAGAAGGAAAGAAAGATAGAGAAGGAAGGAAGGAAAGAAGAAGGGAAAGAAGGAGGGAAGGAGAGAAAGAAGGAAAGAAAGAGAGAGAAGGAAGGAAGGAAGGAAAGAAGAAGGGAAAGAAGGAAAGAAGAAAGAAGGAGAGAAAGATAGAGAAGGAAGGAAGGAAAGAAGAAGGGAAAGAAGGAGAGAAGGGAGGAAAAAAGAAGGGTAGAGAAGGAGGGAGAGAAAGAGGGAAGGAGAGAAGGAAGGACATTAAAAAGAGTAGAGAAGGAAGGAAGCAAAGAAGGAGGGAAGGAGAGAAAGAAGGAAAGAAAGATAGAGAAGGAAGGAAAGAAGAAGGGAAAGAAGGAGAGAAAGAAGGAAAGAAAGATAGAGAAGGAAGGAAGGAAAGAAGAAGGAGAGAAGGAGAGAAAGAAGGAAAGAAAGATAGAGAAGGAAGGAAGGAAAGAAGGGAAAAGGAGAGAAAGAAGGAGAGAAAGATAGAGAAGGAAGGAAGGAAAGAAGAAGGGAAAGAAGGAGGGAAGGAGAGAAAGAAGGAAAGAAAGATAGAGAAGGAAGGAAGGAAAGAAGAAGGGAAAGAAGGAGAGAAAGAAGGAAAGAAAGATAGAGAAGGAAGGAAGGAAAGAAGAAGGGAAAGAAGGAGAGAAAGAAGGAGAGAAAGATAGAGAAGGAAGGAAGGAAAGAAGAAGGGAAAGAAGGAGGGAAGGAGAGAAAGAAGGAAAGAAAGATAGAGAAGGAAGGAAGGAAAGAAGAAGGGAAAGAAGGAGAGAAAGAAGGAGAGAAGGGAGGAAAAAAGAAGGGTAGAGAAGGACGGAGAGAAAGAGGGAAGGAGAGAAGGAAGGACATTAAAAAGGGTAGAGAAGGAAGGAAGCAAGGAAGGAGGGAAGGAGAGAAAGAAAGAAAGATAGAGAAGGAAGGAAGGAAAGAAGAAGGGAAAGAAGGAGGGAAGGAGAGAAAGAAGGAAAGAAAGATAGAGAAGGAAGGAAGGAAAGAAGGGAAAGAAGGAGAGAAAGATAGAGAAGGAAGGAAGGAAAGAAGAAGGGAAAGAAGGAGAGAAGGGAGGAAAAAAGAAGGGTAGAGAAGGAGGGAGAGAAAGAGGGAAGGAGAGAAGGAAGGACATTAAAAAGGGTAGAGAAGGAAGGAAGCAAAGAAGGAGGGAAGGAGGTAAAGAAG